TATATAGTTATACAAGTATATGCCGGGTTGCCGGGTTACCGGGACCGGGGAGTTTGCGCGAGACATTTTCTTACCGGATCGTTAAATGCAATGATGCCAACCGTCGAACAAAAAAAAAAAAAAATCGGCCACGTCCGAATATGATATCTACGACTACGAGTAATTAAGATGTTCGGGTATTCGGGCATACAGCTCGTAATTAACGTCCAAAGTGAAAATGTAAAACCCAAAACCTATGGTCGTTGGATAAGAGACATAATATAAAATTATAGTACCTATTACGAAATTTGAAAGGGGACGGTGAAATATTCTATTTGGCCACATATCGACGAAATTAACTTTAAGCCGACCGGTTGCATCTAAGAAAAAATATGCAAATTTCGATTTTCTTCGTTATAGCCTACGACCCAGAGGCCGCGATAGACGGGATATAGGTATGTTGAATTTACCTTAAATTCGGTTAATGGGTAAATATTCTTATTAGAAATAAAATAAAACATTTAAATGCCTACTACACATATTGATATAATATGCAAAATACAACTCCGAAGTCAATAAGTAGTACATAATACGTACTATTTTTTCTAATTATTATTAAATGTATTTATTCGAACATGAACTACTACAGTGCGGCTTGTACCTAACAAATATTACGAACCTTTGTCATCAAACATTATCATTTTAATACACCAGTTATCATTTAAAGTTATTAATTACATGTTTCTTCTTCTTCTCCTTCGCCTTCATTCCAACTATTTTTCGATATTTATTATATTATCATTAATAATTTTTAGATAGGTACCTATAAGTATAGGTATCCATAGGTATCCATAGGTACCTAAAATTGTATTGCTAAAAATTGAATAGAACATGACGTATAAATTATAAAATATAAGTACGCGTAAATAAACAATATTATTATGTTTGTTTGTTGTTACGATGTTCTCAATTTAAATAATAAATAATAAGTGCGATTGTAAATTTTGTAATATTATACATGACAGTTGGTACCAATGTGTTGAAAATATGCATATATCATGCATCTTGATGATGCTGATGCAAAACCAATTAAGGGTTTATGTGACAGTAAATTGATTTGAAGTGTGTACAAATTTAAAATAAAAATTAATAAAAAAAATCGAAAGATTAAAGTAGATTGGTAGAGCAAGAATTATCCAAATTATCGAAACGATAGAAAACGTTTTTCACCGGTTTTTCGAATACATTAAGAAAACTCCTGAAAAATCAAAAAATGGCCTCTCTAAAGTACCTCCTCAGTAAAATTTCCATACAGAAAAAGTGCTATCATTATAAATCGGAACAAAATTACTGTTAGAAAATTTTTTTACTGAAAATAAAAAGGCCGTAATATTTTTTAACTAATACTTACATTTCGTAAATTTTCTCTTTTGCCTCAAATTTTTATCGGTTTTTCCCATTTGATGAGAAAACTCCGGAGAAAATGAAAAAATTAACTCTTTAAAGTACCACCGCAAGAAAATCTCTTTTCAAAAAAAAGGTGGACACCCTATACATCGGTGTAAGGTTTTCGGTAGAAAAAGTATTCACATAAAAAAATAATAAATATCTTTGTACTTAACTATAACTTTCTAGTATTAATAATTACTACAGTTTATTGGTAGGTATGAAAAATTTACTTTTATTATATTTTGGCCAACAATTTTGATGAGTAATTTATCACAGATTACAGTTTCAAGATAATATCTTAAAAAGTAGTTGTGTATTGTGTATTATACTTCTTAGAGGTTAGCAAGTTATAGCGTCTTAGAAAAAATTATCTATATTTTTTACAGTGACCATATGCCACATAAAAATAAATTTCTTTACCAAATATATGCAATGCAATACGTTTACCTATATACATTTATTCGACAAGTTAATTTTGATTTTATCACTTCACTTCAATAATTAAAATACCTACATACCTATTTACATTTTAAAAATCACGATTAATTACGCTATCGATCACTTAATTTTATTCCAAAGTAATTTATTGTACTTTAAAAACAACATACCCAATGGCTAAAGTTTCAAACAATAATTCGAGTGCACTGTGTAGCGGATTGAACTGTCAAAGACATAACTGATGTAAAAAAAATGTAATAATGATATAAAAAATATACAGACTCAACTAAAATATAATATTAGTGTAATGCAAACGGAGACGAGTTCGAACTGAAATAATGACGACCACGATAATCGACGAAGTATTTTCGTTATCTATTATTTATTTTCAGATGCACATGGCCGGGGAAACCCAACGGTTTTACGGATAAGACAATATTATACATAGATACACTAGGTAGACTATTATACGCTGTACATGAATTATTTATTATTAGAATTTTCTCCGAAATAATTTAGATATAAATGATAAGAGTATTTGTGCTCGAAAGGAGTTGGAATAAAGTTAATTCACAAAACGTTGGATATTCAACGCGAGTCCGTCAGTTCAGTATGCGGTATGTCATGCATGGTGCATCATACATTTACGTTAAAATTTCTTTCTTTCTTCCTAAGGCACGGACTTAGGACTGTTGACAGCTAGCAATTCGTTCTACCAAATACCTACTATGGAATTTAGATAGTACTGGCATTGATTAAGTATACCTAATATATTTAATCAATGGTACTAGACAGTGGACAGTGGTATCATAAATTGTGACATTACTCGGTCACAGTAACATATGAATTGCCTACTAAAACAATTTCGGTGTCAACTGTACAGATAATAAATTATATTCTTACCAAAAGTCATCGGTGCCTTAGATTTCACATATAGGCAATCGCAATACATGCTTAACCTCAAATACTGTGTAGGTAAAAAATACACGATATTTGAGGTTTAGCATATTGCGTCGACTACACTGCGGCTGTAGGTGTGTCCGCCATATTTTCTTTCTTTGTTTAACACATTATACTCAACGTAGCAATTTAGACGATTTTCCGTCAATTAGTACGATAGATTTTGTGAAGCAATAAGAATTCTGAGTACAGATTTGAATTTGGCGTAAATGTACACGTATATTTTTAAATTTAATTTTAGTTTTTTTTTTATATAAAATTTGTAATATTTACCAACTTTAATGGTGTAATGAGTTGATTCGAATATTGAGATAATAAAAAATAATGTATTATAATTATAATAATAATTAAGTACTTATGTGTAGATGTACTTAGCGACATTTAGGGAATGTATCGACCTACCCAGTTTTAGCAATTAGTACCTACTACCTAACTAGACCAGCTAAAATTTATAATATATAGATAAAATTGTTGGGAATTTATATTTAATTAAAAATAATTTTTTTTTTTATAAGGCTCGTCTAGTTAAACTCAATAATTCGTTAGTCTTGTATGTGTTCTTATTACAGTGAGTTCCACTTAATATGATCACATTGGTTCAGGCCATTTTGATTCTATTAACCAGTGGATTCCATAAAACATTTTTTTTTCTATTTAAAGATTCTATATTTATACTTAAACTAAAATAGAATAATTACATTTAAAATTAAATAGATATCTAGGTATCTATTTTCGATTCTACTTGAGAATCTCCTAATTAAATTTTCATATTAACTTGAAATTAAAATCCATATTCAATTAATATACAGTAAAAAATACATATAGTTATAATATAATAAAAACAAACAATACCATAAAAACAATAAGAATGTTTATAAAAGGGATTAAAATATCCGGTATTTGGTGATTCTAATAAAAGATTAATTGAACACTAATAATAAGATTTGGTTTGGGATTTTTATTTTTGATTCCAATAAACGGTTGATTCTATAAACCAATGATCACATTAAGCAGAATTCACTATAATATTAGAATTTATATAATACCCAGCTGTTAGTGCAATAAAAAGTTTCTATCCGTGTCCACTGAATAGGTAATCAATGTAAAATGCTGTACTTTACAGCAGTTTTGTATGATACACTTATTATTTGCAGAACTATCAATTTCTTAATTTAAAGAATCAGAATTAAGCTTAAACCTGATTTGTGATACAATCTTTACTTTAAAAAAACATATAACAATTTGTTGAGTAGTTCCAGAGATCATACTTTACAAAAATTATAATTTTTTTCATTTATATATATATATAAAAGATTACATAACACATTAATATTATAATACTGCACATCAACATCACATATAGTATATATCATAAGTATGAGTGAGCACCCTAAATGAGCAGTACAAAATTTATAAATCAAGATATTTCCTTAATATTGGTTATAGAATTATTTGAAATAATAAATTTGGAATATACTATGCAACAGTCAACAAAGGAAGTAATATTAATGAAAAAAAAAAATACAACTTTACTATTTGTATACTATTAATTTAATATCATCAGATTAACATATTACAACAATGAAATATAACAATTTTGTAATGATTATCAAAAACATTAATTAACCATTATAATATTAAGTTATACAATTGGTAGTGAAGTATTATAAACAATTTTATAAAAACATGAAAATGGAATTCACCAAAATTAGTCTTGGTTAGATTTTTTTTTTTAGATACCTAAACCTAATAAAAATTCTGTTTTAATTTGTTAAAATGTAGTCTATGTTTATAAAGTATACATATATATAGGAATATGAATATATTGTATACAATTATATAAAAATAATCAACCATCAGTCTTGTCCAAAATAATCACAATTAGGCATTTTCAAATTTGATTGTCAACATTATATAAAAAAAAAAAAAAAAACATATTGATACTTATTTCATTAATTTGAAATAATTTAATGAATTAATTATTAAAATAAAAAGTAAATAAATAATATATATTTATATATAAGAAAAAAATAAAATTTTAAAAATGAATTAACATATAATATTAATAATAATTAATCATTGGAAAAAAAATAAAATAAAATAACTTTATTGGTTTTGAACAATTTCAATATGAACATATAAAACAAAATATTTCATAACAAAACAACAAAACAAAATACTGATGTGTGTATACTGAATTGCAAATAATCAATATTGCTCCAAGTAGGAAGATACTGTTTTTTTTACTTCATTGATTATAATCAGGCAATTAACAATAACAATATCTTTATAAATAGGTTGAACTGAAACATAGTTAATATTTTAAATAGCTTTAAAATTATGATTCAAAACAATAAATTATATTTTCAACTTACACATTAATTTCTCAATTGGAAAGAATGATATCAAAGATTTCCCTTGTTTTTCAACTATATCAGTGATACTGGGATCCTTAATATGCTCTTTTATTTGATATAAAAGAGTTATTAAATTATCTATGTGTGTCCCTTTCAATTTTGAAAACACAAAAGCATGACCCATTTCATCAGGTTTAATCACACCAGTCTACAATAAAATAACACATGTAAATTAAAATTAGAATGTCAGTATGAGTAGACAGTATAAAAATATTATTATTTATTATTATTGTTATTTTTTTAATTTAATATTGAAAGTAACAATGAACAAACAATTATGTGTGAACACATTAATTCTGAATAGAGTAGAATTTAGAAATAAAAGATTGTATATTCACTTACATTTTTCTCATTACTTTTTTAGCTCTTTATGAATTTTAGAAATATTGAATACTGACACCATTTAGAGGACTACACACACTTGTGTGTACTATTTCTGTCTAGCATGATATAGCTATGAAAATTGTGCAGTTTGTTTTAAGATTGAAGTGAACTGACCAACCAAATTAACAAACTTAAAGGTAAAAACATAAACTACCATGCTTTTTTAAAATATTTTAATTTTAAAGCCAAATATAAGCATTATTACATTCATATTTTACTTAAAAATTAAAATATCAAAAAATTGATATATATGCACAGATAAAAATTCTTATCTTTAAGTTTGATAGTTTAATTTACTCAAATATTAAAACTAACAGCACAAAGTTGTAATTGCAGAGTGAAAATTTGATTTTGTGTATTTTAAAGACAAAAACAGCAATAACAATGAAATAACACACAACCTTTCTTTTTTCAATTAAATATTAAGTTACTGGAAGGAGCATTTTAAACATTTTAATCCGCCAAAATGTTTTCTAAGCAAACAAAATAAAAACACACATCATTGTATATAAAATTGTTTCTACACTCTATTCAGAATTTAAAGAATCATATCAAAATAATATATTGACATAACTGTTATATATACCTTTAGGAACATTTTAATAAGTATAAAAAAAACACCAACATTAACTTGGGTTAGCAATGGATATCCAATTAACAACAAACTGTCAGAAGTTGTAAGTTGTTTCAATGATTCTAAAATAGTTGTTAAAGAATCAAGTTGTTTTCTATTGTTATTTGTACAATCACTGATATAAATAGATGTTAGGTCACAAACAAATAATTTTCCACAAACAGTTTGCCTTGGGATTTGAAGCCAAAAATAACTGAAATATATAACATGTCATTTAATTTACCAATTATTAAAATCAAAAATAAACTCACTCTCTGCGCTTAATTTTGTCTTCGGTTGGAATGGTAAATAATGATCTAGCTCGGTTACTGTAGTCAATTAATAAATCCAAACAAAATTTTGAGTTGCGTATTACAGAAGCAGGTTTACCCATTTGAATATTAAAATCACATAAATCAATATCAATGTCCTGTTTTTAATAAAATTATATTAAAAATTAAATATCTTAAAATTTCTTGGTCTTAAAATAAATAGTAGGTAATACATTTTTAATGTTATAAAGTATTAAAAAAGTACATGATTAATACTTATTATTATTACCTCTCCATTATACCACAAAAATGAAGAATCATATTTCCAAGTGAATTGTTTAAAATTATTTACTTGATCTTGAAGTAACCTTGCTTCATCTGATGCTTGATATTCTATCCTACGTTGTTTTTCAGAAAATGAATAATCCATAACTTGTTTTACAGTTGAAATTTTTGGTAAATCATAAGCAATAGACTAAAAAATACATAATACTTTCTCATCAAGATATATTTATTTTAATTTATAATTTAAGTATACCTACAATAAGTTTATTTTGTCCAATAATTTCTTGGGTTGGATCAATTGGTTTTACATTATATCTATCAACATATGTTTTAGCAACACTATATTGTAATTCCGTTAACTTTTTGGCATCATTATCAAATTTGTGTAGAAACTCCTGAATGTTATTTTCAATAATTTGCATTTGTTGTTCACTAAAATATTTGGAGCAGTTATACATGGATGATAAAAATTCTTTAGGCAACTCTTTCAATTGAAATAAACAATAACCAGATAATACTATAATAAAATAACAAGTAAGATATAAATAAGGAAAATAATATCTAAGATATTTAGTATGACATACTACGATCAATAGTTAAGAAGAATTGATGAATCCAGGGTTCAATGTATCGTAAACCTCTGTACCCACAACAAACAACATAAACTTCAGAATTGCCTGGTTTACTTGTAACTGGTTTTTTTATGTGTACTGACTCAAATGCACAACATAACAAATACATTCGACATAATGAATTACATTCAAATGTAGTGAACATTTTTAAAACAAATGTACCACCTATTATTATTTAATTAATTAATAATTACATTTTTAATACCAATAAACATTATATATACAATACCATCTTCAAGTATCATTAAGGCAATCATTGCCTCAACTAACTGCAGACGCATGACTACATTTTCTTGTTCATCAGGATTATTTTGACAATCCATACTACCATCAGCTGTTACCTGAAAATTATAATAATACATTAATTTAATTCAATAGTTAACTGATCTTTAAAACAATAACAAATAACTGTTTATTTACCAGACTTGCTTCTTTTCCAAAACGATTTTTAACATATGTATACAAATCTTTATAAAAGTTTCTCTGAAAAATATCTCCAGTATGGTCACTACCAAAAAACCAATGGCTTTTTGAAAATAAAATAAATCTATCATCGTTTATCAAATCGGGATTACCATTTCCTTCATGATATGGATTTAATGTAACTCCTACCCAGTCCCACTAAAATACGAAAAATTCATTAAAATATAAAATTAATACTATTAATTTGATAACTTACTTTCACATTTAACTTTTTACTAATTAAATAATGGTTAAGAGCAGAAATAAATCCTCCAGGAGCTTCACACAAATGAACACTATTGAATTTTCCACTGTCAATGCTTTTTTGAGATATTAGGTCATAACTATTCAATAATTCAAAAAATTTTAACCAAGCTACAGTTAACAATTCTGGATGTCCAGTTTGTTTAACTTTATATAAAATTTTGAGAGCTGGATTTGTTTTCCTAGTAATTTTATGCCATTCCTCCAAGTTAAAATGATCAAGTTTATCCTTGACATTATTTAATGATTTTTTTAAACATATAAAATCTGGTAACTGAAAATAAAAAAAAGCTTATTATAATTAGCCTTAAAGAGAAATTAAATAACATTTTAAAAATTGACACTAAGCAAAATTGAATGTTAAAAAGTATATAAAATAATAATGCATATCTTTTAATAGTTGATGTGACAATTTTTGAAATCAAATTCTAAATCATTAAATTATATTAATATTAATTTAGACTTTTAGCACTTAAAATCCACAAATCACAATATAAACGCCAAAAAAGCCCATTCATCTACATTAATTAATTTACTGAGCGATATAAATTACTATAATAACATAGATATCGTAGGATGACCATAGAATGAAAAAATTAAATTTCAAAATATTAATACTAATTTTTCATTCTATAAGAATAATTCTATACTTGAGACTTTGAAATAAAAATTATGTATTAGTCGAGGTATTAGTAAACTTATAATATATTCATGGTAAAGTTTTGATTTTTGTTCAATAACTGTGGATAAATTAAATCATATACAAATAGAAAAAAGTTCTTAGGATGACAATTTCACCCTAGGTACTTTGTGTTAATTATTTTTTCATTGTTAGAAATTGTATTTAATAAATTAAACGTTTTAAAGGTAAGACTTTCAAATCCCTCTACCATTTTTCCTTTTTAAAATACTTTTTAAGTGCTTTTTTGACATTTGTAAGCAATTTGAATGGATTATAATGCTAAAAGCTAAAGTGCAGTTAATAACTAATATATTTTAATTGTATTTAATTATCATATAACCTATTATAAGAATTTAAATATTAAATTATTGAAATAAAATTTGGAATAATATTATAAATATTTCATACCTGCACAACCTTAATAAGTATTGAATAAAAAATAAAAAAACATGTACCCCTATTTTAATCATAAATGTTACCTATTATTAATAGATACAATTTGTATAATAAAAAAAATATGAAAATTCTTAAGTTGTTTTACATAAGTTAAAATATGTATAGTCTTGATTATTTAGATTTATAAAAAATATATAACTTTAGATAGTTGGGTAGTACACATATTATTAATTAGTACCCATTATATTTTTTTTAAAATTAGTACCCATTATATTTTTTTTAAATTCCAGATAGTTGGGTAGTACACATATTATTAATTAGTACCCATTATATTTTTTTTAAATTCCCAAATAACATACCTATTAAAAAATGCATACTAGTATATATCAATTATATATTTAAACAAAATGTTTAAAAAGATAAGTATATAATTTATTAATTTAATAAATTAAAAATAGATTATAAAATAAACTTGTTTTAAAGCAAAAAAAACTATGAATAGTTACTCAATTGTAAATAATATAAGTAGCTAAATAGATACAGCTTAAAAACTGTACAAAAGTAATATTATGTACACAATTCTGACCTACAAATATACCGAATAATGATAAATGATACTAAATAATTTTAAAAATATCATAATAGTCATGTACAAAGCATTCAAATTATAATAAAAAACTGTAAATTGTGTATTGAGATTGAGAGGCAAAAAACAGTACTTATGTTTGTGTTTTTTTTAACCATATTACTATTAAGTTTATAGTGAACTTTTTTGTACAAAATGTCAAGCTGCACACAAGACATAGACATAGATACCTAAGTTAGTTTTTATGGATGATATATTTTCATAGGAAGGTTAAGTTATAGACAGTAAAATTAACTTTGAATTACCTCCCATTTGCTGTAATTAAACATGGTGTTTGGCTCGGGAAGTTTCCATTTGCATGAATTTGGCAAATCAAACTGTTTAATAAACAATGAATTCACCACTTCTTCATATTGAGAAACATCAGAACTGTTAAGCTGTTTTCTATCTTTGGTCCGGTTATCTTTTGAGTATTCACATGTTGTGTAGTTGTTATTGAAACAGTCATCGTTTTTACCCATTTCAGCTAGATATTATTCCTCTGCGTGTAGTATATAGTAGTTACTTATGTTGTGTGTTCAAAGATGAATGAAACGGAACATAACAATCGAACACACATTACAACCCGAGTGACATATTTAATAACAACTTACACGTGACTTTAGGCATTTGAGTGTGTGTTTTGAACAAATGTCAAATACAAAATTTAACAAATAAATGGAATGTTAAACGCATCAACACCATAGACAGTTGTAAAACTTTTAAGAGCAAATGGAGTAGTCAATGATCATTGGCCTGATTTCTCAATGATAACAGCTTTCTACTTTTATCAAATCTGATGTCGTGTCGTGCATGAAACCACAGTTCTATCACAGAATACCTTGATAGTAGGTATAATTACTACATAGAGATGCGCAAATTGATTTCAATACCATTTATTATTTTGAATAACATCGATATACAATATATTATTATATTATGCATCGGTGTATATTTATCGATATATAGATATTTTATGAATCCTATAGATAGATAGGTCGTTATAATATAACATAAAATATTGCTATTTATAAATATATTCATATAAACATCAATATTCACTACATACATAATTTTTTTCATCTTGTATTCTTATACGATACACAATATTCAAACAATAAAATTATTTACGATAATAATAGGGACGCCTAAAGAAGGAACGATTTTTTAAATTATCTAATTAATTTATATTTAATAGAAATTACTTATACAACTGTTTGATGCTTTAAAAATGTTTAGACACGTTTTAAATTTAAAATTCAATTGATTAAATAGTAGTTTTGTTATTATATTTTATCACAAAATTATTATTTGATAAATTAGTAATACAGCTCATTTTATAGTCTAAAAAATAAAGGGTAACAGACCACAGTGAAAACAATATAATAAAATACCCAAATGACAACGACAAATAGGAAATATGGTATAAATAAACGATGTTTGATATAATAGGCGAGGGTAGTTTGTTTTTATCTACTTGGAGCCAAAAACAATATCGATATTTAAATATTTTGTATGCATCCCTAGTTCTACAGGTTACAACCATAGCCTGATAATCATAAAATATAAAGGCATCTTTTATGTAGGCTGAATTAATCCACCTTGTGATGATTATAAATTTACAGTTTTTATATTATGAAGATTAACGTCATACGCTAATAAGCAATAGGTAATATTTTAAACCATGATAATGAAATTTGATTAACATTTTAACTATTTATCTTACCCAGCCTACCTGCTATTAATTCACTTAAAAGGTCTGAAAATCCATAGATATCATAATACATTATAATATTATATATTATTATTCACAAACACGAAAAACTATTTAACTACTAAGGGGTCAATTTTAAGTACCTAATGTCACACCATAATAATTGAACTAAGATATCTTAGTCCGTGGTGACTGGCGTGAATAATTCTATCAATAATGGAGATATCAATTACATAATAAATTATAGTTATGTCAGCAACTTTGTGATACGCACAAAATGGCGTACGTCGTTCATCATCACGATTTAAGTTATATCTTAACCATGCTTATTATCAAATTTTAATTGTATCAGTAAGTGTACCATAGAGCTTCTACTAAATAAAGTACAAGATATATGAACCGGTACCCGTTCTTCTTGAAACACTGATGAGTGATAAGATATGGAATATAGACAGCCTATCTTTATTGTCTATGGGTGAAGCCGGCAACCATGTTTGCGCGGAATCTGCTGTTAATTGTGATATTGCTGGTATTGCTGTCATACCCATTACCCACAGATATACAAAAATAACTAAAAATGTCATACCTATTTATTTTGTCATGTGTGTATCCACCAAGTTGAATACATCAATTGAATAGGTACACTTTGATTATTCAAATTATCCACTATGATAGACCCATAGTCCATCTTATATTCTTATTACAGAAACAGAAAATTCTTATTACTCTATAAACTAAGTGTCTATGCATCTCAAATACTATCATGATTAACTATTGCGATAGTGGAAAATAAGTGCCAGATCTTACGATTTTCAAATTTTTGATCAATTTAATCTGTGTTACATATTTACTCAAATTGTTCTAAATGTACGGTCAACTTGTTCAGATAACATTTTTTAATAATAATATCACACAAACTATAACTCTTAAATGCATGGTGTGAACCTTATAATCTAAGACCGCGATGTAACAGGGAAGTTCTATGGTTCGCTGAACGTGGTACCTATCGCATCGAATCTTCTGGAAAATGTCTTCAAAACTCACGGATTAAATAACTCCGATATAAGTTGAATATCTTTTTTCAGTTTTGAAAGATAGTACCTATACTAAATATTAAAAATTACCATTTGTATTCACAAAGCCATTGAACTCCAGGCATATATACGTTAATTATACCTACATTTGTGTTTCCATATTTTAGAATTCATTCTATATAACAATATAACACCATACTATAATAATGAATAACATTGTATTTATTCTGTGATACCTACTTAGTACTTTATAGATAACCGATGGGTAACAGACAATAGTAAGTTGTTAGTTTATTATGAATTGGTCTTATTTTCGCGATATCAACTATCATCATATGACCGCGGTGCTGTAGGTAATACTATTATACTGTTTATTTTTCCGGGAAGGGGGGGCCTTTTGATTTCGATGTCGGGTAGAAAAAAAGGTAAGTGCCTAATACAGAAAATCATAACATAGTTATTATTACGTTTGTTAACGTAATATATTGGCTAAATCGATTAAATCTAAACAATCTTTGACAAATCAAATATTAGAAGGTACTTGATGGAACCAATAATGTGCACTTGGTTAATCACTGAACAAAAGTCTGGCGAAAAAATGATTCTCGAATTTAATAATTGTTTTACGTAATAATTACAATGTAAAAATGTACTTAATATTATAGTACAGTTCTACATTTTAATACGTAAATGTTATTGTTACTAAACACAAAACATACCGTTTTAAAAGTTTTACTTTAAAAATGAAAGTGAACAATTTTACATATAATATACAAAATGGTTTAAAAAGTTGATCACATTTTAATTTTGTATTTTTGTTCGTAATACTTTACATTTAAATAATCGTCGAATGTTATTAATTCGTTGCTTAGACCCGGGTCATAAACAATGAGAAGTCTTTTTTCTTTGTCCTACATTTTACGTTTAAATAGTTGGCAACCCTAACTTGGTAATTTCGTACCCGCATCATTGAACTAAATACTATTTAATATTCATTTCTGTGACCCGTATTTAAAAAGAGTAATTGTATTTACCCAAATAAAATGTTGATAAGTACCTACTACCTACCTGAAATAGCTTCCAAGGTTTAAGATTCATTATCAGCCAATGGCCAATACAAAATATATATTATGAAGATATTAAAATTATTGAATACGGTTATAACCAGATATGACACATGACCCAAATATTACACATCCGTCATCGATCGATTTTTTTTTCGTGCGTCATTGCTAATTGTGCTAGCCTGCTAGAGTTCGGCGTTTAGCCTGCCAGAGTTCGGCGTTCTTTTGGACACTGACCTAATAGTATTATGACAATAATCAATAGTGATAACATTATCCCAGTAATTAATGGTTATCATAAAAGTAATCTAAGTATTTTTTTTTTTTTAATAATATGTCTACAGAATACCTATAAAAATTATTTACTGTATGGATTATGAACTGTTTATTAGGTACTTATTTGTCATTAAAAAATATATAATAATATTAATTTTAAGATAATCACAAATATATTATATACTAATACAAAACTTATTTTTATACTCTTAACAAATTCGTTTTGTTACTAGCAAAACATTTATGATTTGAATGAGACGATATAGTCTTTAAGAAGTATGAAAAAAATGAATAGAAAATCACCGTATGTATCTTAGTGGAACAAATGCAGTTTAACTCAATTGTTTGTTTTTGATTTTTTTTTTTCCAAAATGTGTTTTAATGGCATAACAAAAAAATATTTGGAAAAATTGTCATTATTTTTTATTTTGGTGATAATAAAAAAAATTTGAATACCAATTTTTTTTAAATTTTCATTATAGATGGTGATTTTAATGTTGTAGAGTAGAGATTAGGATATAAGTTATTAGAGGTCCACTTTTTAGAACTTAAAAATCTAGCAGGCTTAAAAGAAGATCAAAGAAAGCAAAAAATATTATTGAAATTTCCAATTAGCTTTTTGTATAATTTGTATCACTTGTTTAATGTGAGATTTGAAATAATAATTCAGTAAAATAAAATTATATTTTTAAAATGGAAACACATAATAGGTGATTTAATGTTTGATCTGTAAGGTGATATATTTCCTTTGATTTAATATGCTTCATGTTAGAAAATGTAGGTACATTCATAAATGTAAGTCATTCCAAAAATAGTAAACTTTTTCAATGCAAATTCTCATAAAAAATAGATACTTTTCAACTAGTAATATTTTCCAATATTACACAACAAATTCTTTTGTAGATAAAAATGGATTTGTTTGTAATTAGCATAATTCTAAATAAAGTGTTGTATCTTGCTTTTCAATTTCAACTGCCATAGAATTATTGAATAAATTTATTTGTAGATTTATTTAAGATCAATGCAATAAAATAAAATACAAATAAATGGTAAAATTATACAAAATAATTTTAAATTATAGCAGAGTATGATAAAAAAGAAAGCGGGTCCCCAGTATCCTTGTTGTAGATAATGGTGCAATCAGAATTTTTCGGACATTATTATTTTAGGAGTTCTAGTGATTTAAAAACAAATACATTGCACATAGAGAACAGATAGGGGTCACTTGCTTGGATTGATTTGAATGAAAATATCTTTCAATTAATTGATCAAAGCAGCATATTTTCACTCAGGTCTCACTCCCGAAATAATCTATGTATTCAAATCACTATAATTTTTAAAATAATAGTTTCCCAAAAATTCTGAATGCACCATCATCACAGAATTAAAACCCACATTTTTCTAAAAAAAAAAAAAAGTTTTTTTTTAAAAATTACTCAAAATAAAGAAAAGCGGTTCAATTTTTCCAAATATTTTTGGGTTCAGTGGAATAAAAAACATATTTTGAAAATAAAAAATGAAAAAACAATCAATGTTACCAAACTGCATTTATGCCTACGTATTTAGTAATATAGGAACCAATTAGATTTAATTATTTAAATTTTGTTATTAAAAATGTTTCTAGTAAACCTGTAAACCACAAGTTGAAAAATTATTTTAAATGCGACAAAGTAAAACATAACAAGAATATTAAATTGTCAACAAAACTTAAAACATCTGCTGAAAATCTTATGTCTGTGTTTAGGATAATATGGAATACTAAGTAAGTTATTAGCCTATAGCAAAGAAGTTCAATTAACTAAAATATATCACTATATAATCATTAAACCTGAATGAAAAACACCATTTACTTAATTACTAAATACCTTTTATTATTATTACTATAAATATTTTAATAGAAAATAATAATTTAAAAATATTGAAACTCAGTAGGTTGATCAAGAATACTTTGAATAGAAATGGGGTCAAAGAAGAGAGTTTTGTAAACAAAAAAATTGCTTATGCAAATTCAACAATTAGAAATGTTTACAAAGACATCTGGAAACTTAAGTATGTTAACCTAAAATTGTATGTGTACTATAACGGATGTTATGAGTGTGTTTGTATGAATACTGATTACCTACATATTATGCATAAATAATAGTGTGTACTCAATCAACTTACAAATGTAATACCAATGGAATTGAAAAATGTATTATTTTCTTTAAAAAAATTCAATGATAATCCAAAATTTAAATTTAAATATTATAGGTATTCAGATTCTTAATTTTGTATTATAATACTAATATGTTTTTTTTTTTTTTTCAAGCACACTTATCTATCACCAGTTTACATTCCATAAATCAACATAAAAAAACCAGAAAACTTTTTATTGTAATTTCAATCCAAAATTAAATAGCATAACATAATACAGTTCTATATATTTAAAAAAATAATAAATAGAATATTACATAATTTCAAAATCATCTTTCATATCATTATACTCAAGCACATGTTTCTTAATGGCAGAATTATCTACCCACGTAACAAAATCTTCTAAAGGTCTGAAAAATAAATATTTATGTTACATAATTATATTTATTATAAAAATAGGTAAGCTTTATTTTCTAAAATTAAATTATATAAAATGTATTATGTCAACTTTGTTTATAATAAAGGATAAAATTGTTTGAGTTTATATTTGTAAACTCAATAAATTGATTACCTATCTTTTGTATACAAGCAAATAAGCAGTAAACATAGAATTTGGAACAACAGCCTGCTTATCGCTTACCTATCACTTACAGATTCATCACAGGGAAATGTGTACTTCCTGTAATAAGGTTTGGTAATTTTTCTTCTTTTAGATAAAAATATTTGATGTATGGTTAATTAAATTTCATGGAAAAATATAGAAATATTGGTTTTGATTTATTATTCATAATAAGGCTATTCAATTGGTGTTATAATAAAAAAAATAAAAAAAAATATTTAAACAAAAAGATATACATATAATCTAATATAAATACAATTCATACAATTTTTTTAAAGTTTGAAAATTGAACTTATCGCACTTATAACCATAAAGAAGCAAATTTATAATTTTTGATGACTTCTACAATAGTCATTCAAAATCTACTTGCCTTAATTGAAATAATTAGTGTTAAAATATTCAGGAGGCTTAAATTTCATTACTATAGTATTAGTAGTGATTTCTATTTAAAAATTATTTTGTAATCCTTAAAGAAAAATGTATAATAATAATCCATCTATTTATTCATGGCTTAAAATATTAAATCTTTTCTAAAAATAATTTTTTTAACATGTTCATGTGAAAGTTATTTCCTCAATAGTTTTTTTATAAGTTGTATTTATTATTATTAATTTTTAATTAAATTTGTTTTAATACCTACAAATTTAACACCATTTTTAACAAATTATTTTTTGAAAATTTAGTTAACATTTAAAATTTAAGTAGTAATTTAGGGGTAAAATATTAATTTTTTTTATATGTCACTTCAGATTATTTTACTAAATTTTAAAAGCTCATTACAAATAAACTATTTTTTTTTTTTGTTTTTAGTATTTAATTTTAAAATAAAAAGTTAAGAACTTTTGTAATCAATAATAATGCAAATATGGATTATATTGAAACATAAAAAAAACTATGCGAAAAACATAAAATATTTCATGTAAAATGTGGTGTTGTGTATAATTTAGTACCTATTTCAAATTTGATTTAAAAATATGCATATACTATAAAATAATCAACCTTAATTTTAAAAGGAAAATTTGACTAAATAAATTGATCAATATTATGATATTGATTTTTTGTTTAATTCTCAAATATATTTAGCATAGGTACCTTGATACTAGGAATGCTGGATCTTTTATTAGTTGTGGTCCTACTCGAACATGACCTTGTTCAATATAGGTAGTGGCAGCTTTAAGTGTTTGGACCATTTTAGAACGAACCATTATAACGGGTAATCGTCGTCTGCAGAAACAAGATGCAGTTACTTTTGAACAAAGCTCAAAATTTCTTTTTGTCGTAATTAATCCCATTATGTATCTAAAATAAATAATACATTATTCTTTTTATAAGGTTATTTATTTTATACCATGTACTATTAAATATAAAGCAATGTATAAACAACAAATAAAAATTAATATAAAACGTAGTTGGGATAGATAAGTCAGTTGATGTATTTAAATACTCATGATGTAAACAATTGTGTCAATATTTCCCTAGATAAAGTAATTAAATTTGTTGATTTTTCAATGTTAATAAAAGTGGAAAACTAAAAATAAAAGATTAAGAGTGGATGACAGTAGGTTTAGTTATTCTTAAAAATTTACAAACATCCTTATAATACAAAACTAAATTTATCATTATAAATCTACACTAATTAAAAAATTTACAAAAAATATTTATTTTAAAAGTAAATTTTTAATAAACTATCATAAAGCTAAAACTTACTTAGAATGTAATACTAGAAGGTACATATAAGAATTTATCAAATAAAAGATTATATTAATAATGTTAGAGTAAATGATACAATTGTAAATATTTGTGATGATCTACAGTTAATTTACCAGCTTAAATGAATCTCTATCTAATGATATTAAAAAGTCAACTTTTATGTATAAAGATCAAACAGACTACCTGTTTCTGCAATTGCATTAAACTATTTTTTAATTAAAATAATTAAGAAATCAGATGTTCTTAGTGTTCTTAAAAACATTGCAAAGATAAAACTGCAGTTTGATGTGTTTGAGTATTGTTTAAAATATTAAAATCTGTGGATGATTAATCCTTTGAAATACACATACAGAATTATTCACTCAACTGGGAACACTCGTTATCTCTATAAATATTAACTTTTTTCAGATTTTTTTTTTTCGAAAATATATGATACAAGCAGATCAAAAATTTTCTTATTTTTAGGTATGAAATGACAAACTTGCAAAAACAGATTTGTTTGAACCTTGGCATACAGTTTACACTATAAGATATTTAAAAGCTCTGCAATTTTCACAGAATACTCATTAGCCATTATTTGACAGAGTAATATTTTCAAAACATTTGAGTGAAATTTATTTATTTATGGGTATTTTATGAATGTTTTAAAATATTTTTTATTTGGTAAGTACTATGCGGATAAAAATGTTTTACCAAATATAAATGCTAAGAAATTTTACAGGATGTTCATTATAAGTTATACTTGGTGGTCAAGAAATAATGTTGAATGTAGTAGTTTTTTGTATAAGTGTTTTAATATTAAATTTTGACCAAAATTGTAAATATTACAGCCTTTCAAAACATGTATAACCATAATTCGGTCCAAATTGTTTTTCATTAACAATGGTTTATTGTTGTAGACAGACAAAACTTAAATGATTTTATGTTTATAACTATATTCATAGAGCTTTTAAACATCATATAAAATAAGCTATGTGCCGTGTTTCATATAGATTAGGCAGGTTTTTGTGAGTTAGGCAGCGAATTAGTCATAGTCAGTTTTCCATGTATAGTGCCTATCAATAGACAAATGTGCAACAGGTAACCAAATTTAAATTAAACATAAGTCATGAAATATTGTAGTCACATTTTAAACTTGAAGGGTAGTAATATGTCAGATTTAGGAAAATTTTATCTGAGTTTCATACTAATGAGACTGGTATAACCTATGTTATAGTTGTTTAACTAAAAATCAGTATAGTTTTAATAATTCATAAAATTAATGACTAACTTTAAACTTGAAAAGTTTGCGCATGTTGGTATTCTGAAGGTCTGTAGGGTCTGTTTATCTCAATCAGAGTGTAGCTTCTGTTTTTTCAGAAATCAGCAAATTATTGATATATTTAAATTATTATATTATTATATTAAATTGAAATATTAATTACTTTTATACTTAGTTAAATATATATGAATAAAAAGTAATTCGCAGTATAATCTTACAATTTTTCCAATAATTGAGCACCTTGTTCATTCCTAAATGGATCTTTAGAATCTAAAGATTTAATTTTTTCTGCCACAGTGCGTATTTCTCTGGATAATTTATTGTACCTAAAATTAATCGATAATAGAGTTATTTTTTTTTGAAATTATTGACTATTGATTTATTTCTTACAATGTGTAATGTTCTCGTTTTTGAATCATGTACTTCTTCATGATTTTAATTTCATGTAAGTTGTTGTCTAGTTCCCATGATATAAAATCGACTTTCTTCAACAGCTTTTGCTCGTGAAATTTTAATTTTCGAACCATTTTAGTGACTGACAGTTAGTCAACAAGGTACAGTTTATTACAAAACTACAATAAAATATTAAAATCCACGATTCTATCATTCAAACAAACACGCTGATAACTGATAAGGTAAAAGATAATAATATTATCAGTCTAAAATGATATTCACCTAACAGGAAGTCCAACATCTTTTAATCCTGGGAGTACTAAGGCTAATTATAATCTAATGAATAACAAATCGCAATTAATTAAAACATACTACCTGAATTTTTTCAAACAAATCGAATAAACATATAATTTTCTGCGTTCCATTAACCGTTTAATAAACTTGTAATATTGAAATTGCGGTCGGCTATATACAATTTATCTCATTCACACACTGTAAATTATGTTTTTCTTTCCATTTATTGATAGCGTACGTCACACAATTATGTGAAAAAATGTTCGATCGTTTCATAATCTTTGGCCGACTGAAACATAATAATTAACATTTTGTAGTGTCAGATATAGTAGTATGCATTCTTAACTGTTTTCCGCTCATTTTGTGTATTAATTTCGTACTATTGTCTGCTAACGTTTTTATGATGATATATATGCAGTGATTGCAAGTTATAGTGGTGACGATTTTCCATAGTAAATAACATAACGCGCCGTTATACCATTTTACATATTACATAACCATGGCCGAACCAGATGAAAATCCTTTCGGAGATCCCACCGTGGGTCATCCTTTCCAGGTAATAATATGGGGACATTTGACCTATGTCCACATTCAAATATTACAAGAAAACAAAAATGACTAGTCGTTCTCGTATAATATTGTAGCCAAAGTCGTAATATATGATCTTTGTTGTCACAGTAATAATCTATTTAAAAAATATTATTTATAAAGTTGTAATTTTGGATTATTTTTTAATATAATATACATTGATATAATTCCATTTTAAGCACTTGACATTAAGCCATTAAATTATTTGATCTATTATTTAAAACAAAATATATTTTTGTTTTAGGGATTTAATTTTAAGAATTTTCATGCTTAATGATAGGTAGTTTGTGTAATCTAATCAATAATATGATAATATAAAATTATTAAGTAATGATTACTTAGTTAATTTTGGTTTTATAAAACATTGTTAAATTAGATGTATACAAATAGTTAGGTATAGTTGAACAATTTAACCATAAACAAAATGTGTAATAGCTAGCAAACCTAAGGGAAAAAAATATTTTTAATTATTTTTTTAGGATCCTTCAGTCAAAGAACTAACAAATAATAAAGTACAGTCTTTAATTGAAGACTTCAATCCATTTGGAAAGGATCAGAATGTTGTTAACAATGCGGTAAAATTATAACTATTGTACTTAATTATTAATACTTTTTTAGCTGTTAATATTATTTTTTAACTGAAGTTTAGCTGAAGAATTATCAGTAATCATGAATTAATTATAAGTATTATTTTAGTATTATATAGAAAAAAGCGTTTAATAATATTTAGAAATCTTATATTTATTTTTGAACTGTAACAATATTATATTATTTATTGGTTTTATTTTATTTTATTATTTCAGAAACCTCCTATAAGGGGAGCATCTAATCCACCACTCAATTCTATGCCAGCTGTTATGTCACCCACACAAGAATATCCAGTTACATCACAAGTTGCTTCTACTTATGGAAGAAATTCCGGTGATGTGTCTGCCGATTTACTGGTATTTCATTTTTCATAACCTTATTAAATAACATTATAATATACTTATATTAATATAAATTTTCAATAAAAATTAGGCTAGAAAAGCTGAACTTGATCGAAGGCAAGCCGAATTAGACAGAAGAGAAGAGGAATTAAGAAATGCTTCGATCAATGGTATTTATTGACTTATTGTCATTATTATGGTTTATGGTTTATGGTTATTATTGTGTTCATTTTTATGTGATGTAAAATAATAACAATTATCTTTTAAATTGTTTAAGTTCGTCAAAATAATTGGCCTCCTTTACCTAAAGGATTCTATTATCAACCATGTTTTTATTTGGATATTAATGTTGAAATCCCTCCAGATTTTCAACATGTTGTCAGACAATTGTACTATTTATGGTTATGTAAGTTTTTTAAGTATATTATTTAAATATAACTTTATGTAATGGTATTATATTTTAATATTTTTAGATCATACTGGCTTGTTAATCTGCAATGCGTTGATTGGTACTTTACTACTTTTCACTACAGGAGCTCTTGTTACATTTGTTTCGTCAATTATATTCACTGGAATCTTAGTGCCACTATCGTTTTTATTTTGGTTCCGTCCTGGTTACAAAGCTTTTCGGTAATCTTTTGAAAATTATTATTTTTATTTTAAACATGTTGTGTTTGTTGTTTAAGTTGCTTGCAATTTAACTAATAATTTATTATTTCATTGGCGTTTTTATTATAACACATTTTATATTCCAGACTTTCATATTTTTTTTTAGTTTATGTATTAAATATCATACTAAATGGTTATATAAAACACTATAGAACTACCTACCCATTATTTAATCAATCAAATTTGTATAGATAATATATAGAATAGACTTAGAATGATTTAAGACAGAGTGATAACTGATAATTGATAAAATAAGGTGTAATGCAAGGTAAAAACTAAGTAGATGAGGTAGTTGGCATTAAGGAAATTTGTTCTAATTAAATCTATTTGGCGAAAGAATGGTGAATTTGAGGAAGATGTAAAGCATACGATTATATATAGTTGGACAAAGTTAAAAAAAAACATGAGGGGTAAACGTAATAAGAAAATTCTAATTAGGTGTAAACTATGGTAACACTGATAACAGTCAGGTTATTTGGTACATTGAAGAAAAAAATTAGTTTTAAGAATGTTCATAATTATAATATCTTCCTTTTTTCAGATCAACTAATAAACAATTTGATAGTTTTTAGGTTCAAGGTAATGAATATTTTATCTATTTCTTTAATATTTGATTAACCTTTGTATTATTTGGTACTGTTAAATTATGTAATAAAAGTTTGATTTTTTTTTTGTATCAAAAATTATTTTTCTTTCAAAGAATACTATTTTAATTTTATTATTCCAATTAATATTTTAGTGGATTCCACTTAATGTGGCCACCGGTTAATGTAGGCAGCCGCCTAATATGGACATAATAGTCTTGTATCGATTATAATGTATAACAATACACATTTTGGTTAAAATAGGCTACCGCTTAATGAAATTTTAAATCATTATAGTATAATTTAGAATGTACTATAATATGAATAACGTAACGATAAGTGCTGACCCAAAAAAATATTCATTTTTATTTTTTTTATAGACAGTTACTACTTAAATATTAATCACATCTATTATTTTCACAATTATTGTTTGTGTCATTCAAATTTTTATTGAATTATTTGCTTTCATAATATTAGCTATTTATTATCTTTTAAAGAATCACTATTTTTACATACCAAAAAAACTGATACATATCAAATTATCAACATGCGCCAAAGTCTAATATTTGTACAAGTATATATCTCGCTTTTGATTTTAACTATTCTTTGAACTTTCTAAGCATTGATACATATTGGTAACTTGTTACATATAATTTTTTACCTTAAAAATTTTATTTCATTATGTATAATCTGTTTTGTTCATTGTATAATAAGCTTTTTTTTTTTCATGTGTGTCTTATAAAATTGATTTAAAAAATATTTAATTTTTCTTTATTAATGCATTATTGTGCTCTCAATTAAAAATAAGGCAAATTTAATTATCAAAAGAGTAAATTAGGATTTTTCTTGGGTGATGTTGAATTTTTGTAAGTGAATGTTGAGCACTAGTGTGACTAACCAAATGAAGAAGTAAAACAATTTTAATTGTATTTATTAATTTGTATTATTCACCTAATACATTTTTAAAATAATACTAACCAAACTTCTCAGAGAAATCTCTATGTTTATGTAAGATATCATCTTTGGCTTTATACTATACCTAGGTTTTAATCTATACTAATTAAATACAAAATAAATACTGACTAAGAGTTAGATTGCAAGTGATTTAAAATATATTACTGTTTTTTTTGATTAAATAAAAATAAAATGAGAATTTTTTTTTTATTTAGTGATGATAGTTCTTTCAACTTCATGCTCTACTTCTTTGTATTTTGTATCCAGTTTGTTATATCAATTGTTCAAGCATTGGGTACAACGGATTCTGGATATTGGTAATTAATTTTGATTATTAGATTATCATTATTTATTTAAACATGAATATATGGTTTTTTTTTACAGTGGAATTTTTATGGCCTTTAAGCTTTATGAAAACTCGCACCCCTTTTTGGGTACATTGGTGACAATGATGGGAATTTCTTTCGCTCTTGGTGCAGCTATGGACTTCTTTTTGCTAACAAAAGTAAAGAAAAAAAAAATTATATTAATTTTAAATATTCCAAAGTTATATAAAATGTATTATATTTTTAGATCCATAGAATCTATCGTAGCTCTGGTGCCAGTTTTGCTAAAGCACAAGAAGAATTTCGTTCCGGTGTCATTTCCAGTGGTGCTGTCACCAATGTCATAGCATCTAACATCAGATTTTAAATTAACAAACAAATTATACATTCTTAATATATCTATTTAACACAAAATTATTTGGAATATTTATCATTATTTTGTGTCTCATAATGTATATATCAACAGCTAAACCTACATATTTATTATTATTCTAATGCATATTTTTACATAGTCATTACTCTAATATCTTCATTTGCGTATGATTATAACAAATATAATCATTTTTGTTAGAATCCTATTTATTATTAGGACTGTAATAACACAAATATTTATTTGGTCCTAAAAATTATAAATTATTTGGATTTTCTACTGTCCTATTAATTATAATATATTTTTTTTTTTGTCTATCAAGTTACATAAACATATTTTATAATTTATTATGGTTTTATTGTTTTATATTTACAATTTGTACGACATTAGAACCTTGTTTGTTAATATATTATATTATGCATTTCTATATAATATGATCATAAATTGTCATTTTATTATTTTTAGGCATAATTATTATTATTTTTTAATTCTGATCTCCATAATAATATACCAGTTGGTCATTTCACTATATATGTGCACAATTAAAACGTAAAATAATTCCCATTATATTGGAAATTTACCAATAAAATTATAATAATAAATTTAACTTGACTGTTGTTAGTGAATCATTTTGAATACAATAAAAGTACCTAATTGTATGAGCGTGTGAACAACAATATAGCAAATGTTAATGCGAATAGTCTAACACAATAAATTGTAAGTAAGATTAAATATTTAGTTATGATAATGTTCACACAAATCAATCGTCCACTGCTGTAAATTCAAATGGAAAAAAAAGTCGAAGACTTCATAAAAAAAACTATAGAATTTATGATCGTACGGTAATTTAGTATATTAACGTTCACAGCTTGTGTCCAATACATTAAAATATTGCTAACCTCTTTGCTTCGGCGATAACGAGAACCGACGCGTTTGAACGGCCAAAAACCGTTAAACAGAATTAAGTTGGCTACGGCGGAAACGGAAAAAAATATTCGAGTGCGTTAATACATACTTTTAAAATGGTGGCATTAGTGTGAAGTGGAAACTGGCGCGCGCCGATTTCTGTTTTCTATTGTTGACGGTGGTAACGGAATCGATTCCTTAGCGTCCCTCGAATTTACCCGCCGGTTGAGCCTGCACTCGATTGGTCGCCGACGGGTCACATGACTATTAAATATGGCGGCCGTAAACGGTTGGCGCGCGTTCGCCGCCGCCATAGAGTGCGCACTAGAGAACCGCCAATGTCTGTGTGTGTGTATATCGACTGTATCGCCCGTACGCGTACATTGTATCGTGTTTGTGTGTGTTAGTGTGGTGTTTTTGGTGTGCGTCAACGTTTGTGTGCGTTTTTCTTGTACGTATGTGTGTGTGTGTGTGTGTGTATGTGAGAGCGCATTGTATCCGCGGATTCGGAGTTTAGTGCAACTCCAGTCAGTGTAACGTTCTGCATCTTCCCCAGTTTTCCATTTCTACCGGTTTTTTTTTTGTTATTTTTATTCCAATTTATTCCGTTCTCCGATACGCATCCGTCCGTCCGGTAAACGCCAATAGTTACTATATCGTGCGCACGTAGTTTTCTTATTGAAAAGACAGCGGAAAAATGGTATGTTGCAATAACGGTGGTTCGTTAGCGTGTGGATACGCGCCGCGCACGGCTGTCACGACGTTTCGCCGTCGACGACACAAGCGGATACCGCGACGACATTCACGTGTCGCGATCTCCGAGTACTCACAGGCGGCAGCCGGCCGGCGGTGTTCCATTTCATCCAGTCGACCGCATTTATGTATTGTTAATCATATACTTTTGTTTGTTCTTTAGGCCGGTGGTAAAGCTGGTAAGGACTCAGGAAAATCCAAGGCTAAAGCGGTGTCCCGGTCGGCTAGAGCAGGCTTACAGGTAATATTCGTTAAACATGGTCGTGCATTATTAATAGTGAGTACTGAGTAATAAATAATGAGGCGCGGGACTGATGCGCGCCGTTTCTCCCCACTCTCCTCCTTCATGCCGTCCCGCGCTTTGGCGCATAAAACGAACAAGAGTTATCCACAGGATCGTTTTGTGCGCGTCTATAATAATGACCACACGACTACGTCCTTTGATTACACCACTCTTACAGTCATACGTCTCATAGGGACGACTGATGGATTTTTGTGCGTGCATTAATCTACGACTATTCAGTTACTAAGGATTTCGATTTCAAGTGCATCAAAGAAGCTATAATTTTTTTTTACTCTAATGAAACTTTTTTTTATAAAAGACTCCATATTCTTCAGATGCACATTTTTTGACTGGTTGTACTTGAAGAATTTGTTTAAATTTCCTACAGTTTTAAAATTACCTAAGTTATATTTTGTAGGGTTCTGAGTTGGCTACAAGATAATAAGCAATAACATGATTATTACTGAAACGTTTAGTACCTTATTTACAGTTACATTGAGCTTCACTTAAAATCGTTTTTAGTTTCAATGATTTATCATTAATTTCAGTATGTAAAAACCATTACATTCTATTGTACACTTTCCTACTTTTCCATCTACTGATGGTTTAAAGTGATTTTAAAATTTGGTACCTATAATTTTTTTGTTTTTAATCTAAAATGGCACTTTTCAATATTTATCTATTCATTTTTAAAGTTCTTTATTGTTTCAAATATGATAAGGAATACCTACTGGAGTACCACATTGTAACTCATTTCAGCTTGTGTTTGATGTTTTATTAATATTATACGTAGGTAGTACCGCAATTCTACTTTATTTAAATTGTTTATTATTTTTAGACTAGTAGTATTCTGTGCTTATATGTAAAACACTAAAAAAAAATTAGTGATTTCTATCTAAATTTTCATTAAAGTAGGTACTCTAAAAAAAGGTAGGTAGGTATGTACCTAAAGAATTAAGTTCTAATTTTTAGAATTTCTTACTGAGGTATATATGTTAATATAATTTGTCTACACATTTATATTTTATATTTAAATTTAAGAAATACTATGGTTAAATGGCTATAATAGCCATAAATATGGAATTATTATTTTTTTTTATTTTTTTTTTTATTATAACACTAGTTATGAGTACACAATTCTCCATTATAGTTAAATGTTTAATAAATTTATTAATGGTATGTTTAGTGTCTTTTTTTTATCTAGGTAGGAAAAATTGTTATTTTTAATTTGACCAAAACTGCACACTATAAGGCTACAGAGCATTTCTACTTAATTGGTCACTATTTGTGTGTGTGTATGTGTGTTTAGATACTGAATTTAAAAGGGCCACTTTTATTTTAGAAGTTATACCAAAAGTACTAAAGACCTGTTTTTTTTTTTTTTTTTTTTTTTTTTTTTTTTTATAAGAGTGGGATTTTAATGCTGAAAATGATTGTGCAATTAGTATTTTTTAGAAACTATTATTTTAGAAGTTATAACAATTTGAAGGCAATTGTATTTTTGGCGCATCTACAGGGCAGGGTCATTCATCAAAAACCTAAATGAATGCCTTAAAAATTCTAAATACTCCTAAAACAAATTAGATTAAAGTACCATGCATTTTTTTAAACTTTGAATTTTTTAGCCCGTTTATGCATATCTTTTCATTACTTGTTTAAACCACCTCTTAGGCTCTGGCTCTTTTGTATTATCAACTAGGTATTCAAATATATCGCTCTTGTATTGAGACCTCAGAAATCTGCAAACAATTTTCTAAATAAAAAATGAATACTAGTTATTTATGCCTATTAAACACATTCAATACACTATGTTCTGAATTACTTTATTTTAAGTGTAAACTATTTCACAGAGCTGTGTATGATACTTATGATGTATATAGAAACCCCTCTCTGTGTGGTTTCTGTCAAACTACTTGTTGCTGGTTATGAAACATTTTACATAATATGTACTAATCAAGTTTTACCGAAATCATTTTTAAAATTTTAAGTTAGGTTATAAATAATACAACAAAACTTTATGAACCTAAAGTATTTTTAAGTTTGTTAAGCTGTTAAACCACTGCTTTGAAAAAATAAAAGCAATAGAATACTTAGTCACTTGATACAACTTTTTATTTTCACTTTTCTTAGTTCAAACATTAAAATATCTAGTAGTGCTAAAGTGAGTTTTTATTGATTATTGACTGCTATAGTTCCATGTACATGTGAACACAAAAGCAAGTTCTGTTGTTTTACATGTCATGTAAGCATTGTCACCAGTGAGTCCATGTGAAACTATCCTTAAAAAAAAAGGTTGTCTGATATATTGATTTAAAACTTTTTTATATTATTCTAAAAACAGATATTTTTCTCTGATAATGTAGGTTTAAAAAAATAATAATAAAATGTTTATATCTGATAATTAGTTTTTTAGTTTTCTGTTCACACATTTTATGGCCTATGTATTACAATTACCCTCTCACCCTATTTTATTAAACATAATTTGTTCACATTCCTTCAATATAAACTTAGAATGTTTACTTAGGAACTATAAATTTGATATGTATGTTTGCTAAATATATAAAAAAAAAAAAATAATAAATAACTTATAAATTAGTTGTTTTAAAAAAGTGAATAAATAAAAATGGAGTATTAACAATTAGTAATAAAAATCAATAAGATATCTGTATGATTTGTAGTTTTTGTATGTATTACCATTAATGGACTGTTTGCTATTTAAATTTATTTACGGAATATTATAATAGTTATAATAGAAATCAATTTCTTTATTTTTTTACAGTTTCCTGTTGGAAGAATTCACCGTCATTTGAAAAACCGTACTACAAGTCATGGACGAGTTGGTGCCACAGCTGCTGTTTATAGTGCTGCCATTTTAGAATACTTGACTGCTGAGGTACATTTATATATAATCTAAGTAAATAATTATATGGTATACCTTAATTGTGTCCAAAGACATTTTACGTTTCACGCCGTAAATTTTTTTTACACGGCAGACCAGAGTATTAAGTTCACTGGTTTTAACCTTAGAACCCTAGTTGCCCCCTTAGATATATAATTGTCATTTTTACCAGCTATTATTTGTTTTCGTCTTATGAAAATTGTTTATTTTTAAATAAGGGATAGTATATATAATTGTAATTTTTAATTGTTTTTAGTTAAATTTGTATACCAATTTCTGAATGTATATATATTTCTACTGATAATTCATTAGTTGACTTAGTGTCATCTATCAAACTATCTATAGCACACAAACTGTGAATGCAATTTATAAATGGGTGTACCACAATGATCACATTGAATGATAAGGGATTTTTTTTTTCCTTGAATTATTGTCATACAAAAATGCTGCTGACTTGATTAAATTGTAATGGATAAACCACAATTATATTCACATTTATAAAACCTCCAAAAAAATTGTAAAAAATAAAAGTTTCAACTGCCCACAATGTTCATTTATTTTACATTTTTTTTTTCTGTGTGAAATGTATTAGATCCTACTAATTAAAAAAAAATTATGTATTAAGAATATTGAATAGTACAAATGTTATTTAATTGTGGGACACCTGTATGACATTAAAGGTTATATTTATAATATTAAAGTAATATAATCAACACAGGTGCTCGAGTTGGCTGGTAATGCATCAAAAGATTTAAAAGTGAAGCGTATTACCCCACGTCATTTGCAACTTGCTATCAGAGGAGACGAAGAATTAGATACACTTATCAGAGCAACAATTGCAGGAGGAGGTAATACAATAATAAAAGTTATTTTACAAATTACTAAATTTTCATTTTTTTTAGGTGTTATCCCGCATATACACAAATCCCTTATTGGCAAAAAGGGATCTCAAAAACCACAGTAAAATTCCCCTGCCACACAAGACTTTTTAAGTGTAAAACATTATTTATAATTTATAAGCTATGTAATTTGATTTAATTTTCTTTACTGACTTTTGCCTTATTCATTATTTGTCATGATATTATGAATTTTATACCTCATATATTCCATTTGCTACTTGTGTAAGTACAGGTATAAAACTATTTGGCATAAGATAATGACTTATTATTTTATTAAGACAAAATATACAATTTTTTTTTTGTAACCAAATTTTTTTTTCAATCAATAGTCCATCATTCGATTTTTTTTTATTAAAAATCAAGTATAGGGTGTACAAGTTTATTGTATTATTCACTTTAAAGAAGAAAAAAATAAAAACATTTCTTTTTATAATTATTATATGTATATATTTATTTCTTATATATAGTAATTAATTAAAAAAAAAAAAAAATGATTGATTAAATATATTATCAGTTCTTATATTAGTAAGTTATGTTCATAAAGTTTGATTGACATGAAACTAAGATTATTACAAAATTAACAATATCCTATTTCTGCACAAATGCTTTCTTCTTTAATGTCATTTATTAGAGTGTTCATCATTTTTTCAGCATTAGATTCCACAAAATCAATACATTTTGCTTTGTTAGGTAGAGGATCGCATAATGATTCTAATCTATACATAACATCCTTCTATAAAACAATAAATGGTTAGTTTCTAAACATCTAACTATCATCTATACAATGCAAATCTGATACATAAATGAAGCAAAAACAACTAATTTACCAAAATTGTTATACAATGTGAGGGGGGGTAAGCAAAGTTATCCCTTGGCACAAGATCACTTCCCCACTAAACGTCTAAATTTGTATGTCTGAATCTACCAAAACTAAATTTTAAAAATTAGGTCCAGTTCAGTGGAATGTATAATCCAGCTTGGTTTACTTAAGTGTAATGTTAGATCTTGTCATACCACACAAATACATGAGTATAGTTTTTTAAATATTTTATGTTTCATTACAAATGATAAATTTGATTTCAGTCTACTATACCTAAATTATAATTATATCATGAATAATATTTTGATTATGTGGAGTGACCTAGTTTGGCCCAACTACTATCAATTTCTTCATCTGGTACAATGAATTAGTATTAGGTTACGTAGCCTGACCCGGTCCACTGACTTTACTTGCCACAGTCATGTTCAGATTGCATTGAGTAAAGCTGGCTTAAAACAGGTTCTCAACATATATAATGAATGAGAATATTCTTACTTCTAATTTAGATGTTTCTATTTTATTTTTTATATCCCTGATCACATCCTTGCAAATTGAACACTTTGGGTGAAATTTATTTTGATAAAGATCTTTTGCTGAAAATCAATAACTGACCGTTAGTAGGTGATTTAATATCAAATAGACTTATTCTTTTTAACCAACCACTCTTTTTACAGTTAACTCTCAACATTTTAACTAGATTTTTGATGAGCCAATCTTCTTGTGTACCTTCTTGATTTAGTAGTTTACAACCATACTGCAAGAAGTTCAATAAATCGTTTTTGTCCTTTTAACAAAAACAAACACATTCAATACATTTATTAGCTGTATAGCTGGTGTTTCATGTCAAATGCAATCAAAGACAATGTTACATAATCTCTCAATTAAATAAAATAGGAAATTGGTCAAATATATATTAGTTAATGTTGTTGAAATTGTAAATACATAACAACAAAAATCATGATTTTTATAATATATTTATTGAGTAAATTAATATTATTCCCATTCATATTCCATTGGAGTGTATATATGTACACAACTTACTGGCGAACACAGTCAACAATTTGTTTATTAATTACATTCAGAGACAAATACAATTAACATAAGGATTGGTACTATTTACTAAACACATCACAGTGGTTTATTATAAATAACATAATTTCTTTATAAAGTTTTTGTTACACAATAAATCAAAAATGTATGTATAAATAATTATTTAAAAAATATTCTCACTAAAAATTTGTAAGATTATTACTGGTTTTATTTAACTGTATTGAACAATTAGTTTGAATGGATTATTTGGTAGTTTAACCAATAATACAAAAAAATATAATTATTGATTGATTAGTTTAATATAAATATCAAAAAAGAACACTTTTTAACTTTATAATAATATAATACTGAAATATCAAATTGCTGTTTGAAAAAGAAGTAATTTTAACTTTATTAAATTGTTTGAAATTCTTTTTGATATGTAACTATCATAATTTACTGTAAAATAAATATGCAAAGTGTTCAATGAAGATACCCATTGTGATATCTCAATAAAGATAAGTAGTCAAATACTTATTATATAAATAATATATATATTTAAATTATTATTTTTTGAAAAAAATTACTTTTCGAAAAATTTGAATAGTTTACTACCCCTATTATAGTTAATTCTTCTGAAAATTCTAACATTTCATCTTTTTGTTTTCAATAATCCCATGATTTTTAATTTTTTTAAAGTTCAAAGAAAAATAGAATATAATGAATATTATAGTAGTATTTTGAAATTACCTCGATCTGATAAGTTTTGAGATAATACCAAATCCATAACGATATACTATGTTTCTGGAAACTTAAAAAAATATAAAAATCACGATGAGGTTAATGAAAACAAAAAGTTGAAAAATCAAAATTTTCAGTAAAATTTAATATAAAATGGTGAGCTTTAAATTTTTCAAAAATATTTTTTAATTTTAATATAAATATTTATATTAATTATACATGTTAAGACATACATATATATATATATATAAAACAAATTTGATTATCTCTGAAGAATCACAATACGTTTAGATGTCAATAAAGAAATATTTTGTATATTTATATTACCAATCAATCAAACAATTTTCACAAAGTAAATTAACATTTGAGGAATTCCTTTATTCTAAATAACAATAATAATAATAATAGTAATAAACTTGAAAACCATCTAATAACATGAAAAGGAATATTTGTATATAATATAATAATAGTTATAAAGTCTAGATCATCAAATAATAATCATTATGCAATCATTATTTATTAAAAAAAATGTATACTATTGAATCTCGCTTTTACACAACATGAGTATCAAATAGTTTTAATCATTAATTAAAATATCACTTTAATTTTCGTTGACTTTTACATTCCATGAAGTGCGTTTGCACAATGATTCAGCCTAAAAAAAAAAAAATGTATTATTTTAATATAGTTAAACAAATAAATATGTTAAGTTGCAGTGTGTTTAATGTTTTGATCAAAAGTAATATTTTATTTCTATAAATTACAAAAAATAAATATTTGGTGCATGGGGAATATTGTTAAATTGTTGCTTTCAATGAAATATTAAGAGCAAGTAATAATCAACATTAACATTAATTTTTAAACATAGATTAAAAGATAATTTAAAACTCAGATAAACGGCTGTTTACGTTGGTTAGAGAAGCTCTAATATCTTTAATTACTCAAAAAAATATAACCATGCTACAGTTTTATCCTGATCAGGATATATCTTAATTATATATTTATCTTAAATAGTACATTTAATGAAGTCAAAAGATTTAATTACCTTGCATTCTCTGGCATTGTCCCAAGATGCACACCAAAATATTTCACCTCTTAAACAATTTATGTCGTTTAATTGGTTGATTGCGACACTCTTATTTTTTTTGCACAGTGCCAGTGATTCACACATCATCCAAGTAGGCATTTGGTTATAAAGATTTTTGAAAGATTGAGTGTATGACTCTAACATCTCCAAACACTGCATATAATAGTTATTTTTGTACATTTCAATATTTAACAATTATTAGGTCTTCAGCCGTACACAGTGTAAAGGAATAATTTTTTTGGTACTTAACATTAGTTAAGGGACAAAGTAAATAATTAATGGTTTTCAAAAGATGACAATTTTTACAATGGACTACACCAATGGTGACCAAATTACAGTGTCATTAAATAATATATATAGCCTGAAGTAGTGGAAGTGCTCACTTTAATTTATGCATTTAGCATTAATAACTATAATTTTACATAGAATCATGAAGTTTGTTTTTCAATTTTACCTGCTGTTAAAAAAGTAAGACTACCACGGGACTACATGATAATGATTTATTAATTCCGAATATTAAGCAATGGATTAAGACAAAAATAAAATATATTATTTACCTTATTCTTGTGTTTGACATCCACTTCATCACAGAATTCAATGATATCAATTAAGTCAATGTCCACTGAATTATTGTTCAAACGATCACTGAATACTGCTGTAAATGCTTCACAAGCCGCACACTCATCAGATTTATCTAACTCTACAGATTCAAATGTAATAGATTGCAAATTCCTTTTGTCCGTGTTCATATTACGGTCATCTGCAGCTGATTAACAATTATTTAAAATTGTGATGTTTTTTTTTTCAATTTAACTAATTATCACTTACTTTTTACTTCATCACACACCATTAATGCCATGCACGCAATACCTGGATCAGTTCCTATTTGAATAGCAGTCACAATATTTTTGTAATTGGAATCAACAAAATTTTGACATTCTGTCTCTTCTACATTAGGCAATACACGGCACACTGAATCTAAGATTTGTTCAATCTCCTCCTAAAAAAGTTTTTATTTAATTTTACTACAACTTCACTTGTAAAATAAATAATATTACTTGATTTGATTTATCTTTAACTACGTTATTCAAATATTTCATTACAATAGTGCAAACCAAACAAAATGGTGTAGGTACTTTTGGTTCTTCCAACATTCTATGATTGTTTGTCAATAATTTTCCTATATCGTATCCTGGAAAGGCTATAGTAACTAAACCGGAACTAGCAACCATATTTGTATCTAAAAAAATAAAAATAATATTTGTATTAATATTTTACTTATCACTTTCTAAAAGAAAAAAATTGTTCACATTAGATCACTTGCCTATATCATTATTAGAGGTTTCAAATAATAATTTTGGTTTACAGACTTCTAACATAACACATATTTCTTCAGGCTTTACTTCAGCAACTAACATGTCAAGAATACTGTTTAACTGTGTTGATACGAAGTCATTGCATTCCTTCTTCCACTTCTGTGGTAATCTGCCACACAACTTTTCTAATTTTTTTTTTATCACTTCCTGATAAAATATAAAATAAAACATAATTATGTGATATTATAACTCGAATAAATCTTGTATTCACATACTTCCGAGTCTTTCTTAGTGATTTCTGATTCCAAAGTTGACATAAAAATAACACACATTTGGCAGTTATTTGAACTTTCACTACCTTTGTTAAATGTTACAGATAAATCTGTAGATGGACATGCTTTAAGTTCTGGGCATATCTAAACAATATAATTGCAGATAATTATGAATTATTTATAACTTGACAAAGAAAATTATTTTTAAGAACACTCACAATTGATGGATCAACTTCTTGAGCAACAAGTGAAATAAATGCATCACCATATTGGTCAACAAATTGTTTACATTGATCTTCATATAACGATGGTAAAACCAAGCAGGATTTCTTTAAAGCGGTACGGATTTCTGATTCAGATTTTGGATCAGTTACTTCTTGTTGAACATAGTTTAATATCGATTCACACAAGAAACAGATAGTTTTGTCAGTGGGTAAATCAACATCATTGACTAATGAATTATATCATAATATATTAGTATAATAAATAATAATCCATACTTAAATTTTAAGAATAAAATGGTTTAGCATTTGCATATATATACACATAAATATCTTACCGACAATGTGCATTTCTTTGTAGAACACATCAATAACTGGTGATTTTTTAATGGGTTTGATGTTTTGAACTTTTGGAGGTTGCTCATCCACAATGATTGGTAAAACACTTTTTTCAACTTCTTTAGCCTCTTGTTTTTGTAAAATTTCAATTGGCAAAAGTGGGTACATTGGCTAAATAAAAAATGCAATATTTTAACTCAAAACACAATGCAAAATAAGATAACTTACAATAGCGAAATTGAGATCAAAATGAGAATTTTGAGATTTAGAGCATACACCAACAATTGTACAAAGTTTCTTGCCATTTAATTCATTTACAAGGAATTGATAGATACGACCATAATTATTGACAACCATTGCTAAGCACTGAAATAAGAAATAATTAGGATAAACACAGAATTTAGAAACAAAACATAAATATTAGATAATACCTCATCGGAGAAAGATTTTGTTTGTTTGCATAGACCTTTGAGTACGTCTAAAAATTGTTCTTCAGTTGTGTTAGAAATTAAAATATCTCTTAAATGTTTAACCATGGCTTCACAGAAATCACAGGTCACATCATCACTAACTTCATTTGATTTTTTAATTTGAACTCTACCTCGTTCACCAGCATTACTGATTTCAACACCCATCAATGCATTTTTAGATCTCTTTTAAATAAAGATTCTATTAGTGAAAATACTTTATTTACTTTTTAAATCATCTTACTTCATAGCCATCAGCATGGGGGTGGAATGCTTCTGAACACATACCACTCAACATACAAACATTACGTTTATTAAAATCGTTTTTAAGAGCTCTGTATATTTCTAGACGATAAGTGTAAACAATATCAATGCATACATCAGAATAACTACTAAGTTCTCCACATAACTAATAAATGAATAAAATAAAAATTGATTAAACATAATAGAAAAAATAACAATAATTAAATTTAGCAAATATTACCATAATCATTTTGTTTAAAACCTCATCCTCAGACATGCTCTCCATCAAGTGTTCACCTTTTTCCATAACAATAGCGCATTTTTCACACGCATGGTAGTCATTAATTTCATTTTGTGGTTGCTCCTATAAAACCAATTTAATAAATAATATTGAAAAAAATATATTTAAAATAGTATATATTACAATACTAACTTTATTTTCCAATAAAAGTTTATCAATATGTGCGTTGTTGCACAAACCAGATACAGTACAAACAACATTTGGATCCATTTGAGAAGCCAAAGTGTCAACAAGTTCTGGTATAAAATCATCAGCCAATTTTTTACATTCAGTTTTGATTACTTTCAGTGGCAACAATTGACAAGACCCATAGAATACTTGTTTTAGTTCGTCCTAAAATTAATAAACAGTACATTTTATTCTATAAAACTTTGAAATTGTGTTTATTATATATTTCGTTAAAAACTATTTAACTTAAATACACAATTATAATTATAGTTTGTAAATACATTTAAATTAAAATTATTTTTGTTGAAAAGTAAAACAAGCATTTTTTTTTATTTAATTTAATTAGATAACTAGGTAATCTTTTAAAAAATCAATTTCATGTAAATAACTATTAACTAACCAATGTAGTATTACTCTCTAATGTATCACGAGCTTCTTTAACCATATTTTTACAAATAGTACAAACATCATCGTTGTCTTCTGGATATGTTTGAGTTTCCCAAGTGGTTTGAATACAATGTTTAACTGCGTTGCAACTGGCAGCATTACTAAAAAAATTAAAAATATTTATTAACAAATTTCAATCAAAATGATCAACGATCATTGTATATAAAATTAAAGAAACAACCTAACCTAACCTTATATTTCTAGAAAAACCATTGAAATATCTTAATGTCAAAATTTGATTTAAATACAATTATGACAAGAACAATAAACAGATTTTCTATGAATAATATAACTATGAAAACAGTTAATATGATAATTATAGTTCATAAATAAAAAAATGTATTTATTTTGACTTGTGACAAAGTTAAAACATTTCCCCAAAAGTTTAAATTGTTTTAAAACAATAAAAGCCAATTAAAAATGAATTTGAACTATCTTCTAGATATGCAGTTTTTATATTTTTTTGAATGCATAAGTTTATCCCACATATTCAAAAATTATAATGAAAAATGAATTTATTAACAATAAAAAATAATAAGTGCTATAATAAAACCAATACCAAATGAGTAATTTATGAAATAACAAAGTGATTAAAATCTTTCTATCATAACTAGTTACATTATTTTAATGCAGAAAAAAACTGTCATACTTAGCATAATGGGTGGGCTGCTGTTGTAGATGATAATTTGAAAAGGTAGAATATAAAGGAGAATTTTATTTATATTAGTACGCAACAATAAATCATTGCTAACGAAAAACGATTCGGAGTGAAGTTTTTTATACATGTACATAATTTTTCCTATTATTTTTTTCCAAATTAATAAAAAAACCGCTTGGAAAATTAAAAAATTACTACCATAATGCACAGAGATAAAATTTTCTTTTAGAAAAGGTAGTACACTTGATACATCGGAGTAAGATTTCTGGTAAAAAAGTTGCTCACAAAATAAAATAAACATCATAGTAAAATAAATACATTCTACGCTAAGCTCTGAATCTAAAAATAACAACATACAATTTTAACACATTTTTGTATTTACCTATATGTATTCGTATACTATCAATATTTTTGTAACTTTATTAAGTATTATTATTAATGTAAATTTATTTTATTTTATAGGTAGGTAACTGCTTTTATTTCTTCTTATTGTTATTATTCTATAATTATTGCTTTGTTTTTGTCACAGACATATAATGGTACCAGAGTTCATTAAATGTAATAAAGTATACAATTGCATGATAGGTTTAAATTAAGAGAAGTCAATAAAAGAAATAGTAGAAAAAATAACATATCACTTCATAAAAATCTATATTTTATTAAAATATACAATATTTTTTGGTAACTAAACTTTTTTAGAGCCAGGTATTGTCAGCTACTATTAAATAAGTAAGATGTAGGTTATTCTGTTATTGTTTCAACTGATTTAAGGCAATATGTTTATATAATCAAATTAAAACACATGTACAAACAAAATAAAAAATTTACTAAGACACAAAATAACAAATGAAAATCAATTTTTGACCTAAGGTATACTTAATAATTATTATACAATACATTTATTCTATATGAGTAAACAAAGGATTATATTAAACCAATCATTAAATCAGTTTGAAAAAATATTTTAACTCATTTTAGATTAATATAATAATCAAGGTTTAATAAATAATTATCACAATATTAAATATTGGCTTAAATTTCATTTTAAATAGTTATGACTTATGTGAAAAGACAAAGAATCTTCTTGTCTTATGACAAAGAATAATTTAATAAAATGAATAACTGTTATCAAATCATGTTTTATCATAATTATTTAACAGGTGAATTAAATATTGGCACTTGAACAGTTTAGTCATAAATGACTAAGCATATTATTATATCATATATCATAAATGTACTATCATTTAGTTGACTAGCAAGTTCCTGTTGTTCAGGGTTAACCACTTTTTCAATACAGATTATATTATATCTATTTATTTATAAATCGGTTTCTTTATTTATTTTTATTTTGTACATTTTTTGATAAAAACTTATTTATTATTATTATTTAATAAGACATTTAGATGTCCATGTTAAATAACTATAGATGCTCAAAAGAAGAGATTTTGCTTTAATAGTTTAGCGAATAATTAATAAACAAAATAGATTAGAATCAAAAAATCACAAAATTTAAATATTAATATTTTAAATACCTAATTACTTATTAAACCATTTGTAAATTATATTTAAGTATTAAGTAAAGGTACTATGTATGCTAAAAAGTAACAGTTACTTAAAAAATTTTTCAACAAATTAAACTAATACTGAATAAATTAATTTCATTTAGATGAATCCATAAAATAATAGTAATGATAATTAAATTTATGATACTTAACTATCTATTATTCAAAATATTATAAGATTTCAATACTTGAATATTTATTGTACCTAATGATTGATAATAATATATGTATTTTAAAATTTAAAAATTGTTATTTTAACTTAAAAAGTAAACTTTTTAACAAAAACAGTTAGATATTATATAGATTAATTAGTTATTACCACTTAAGACTAAAATCCAACAGTACATTTTATGTAACTGGATATCAGACAGTTATACTAAATTTATATTCTAAGTATCATCTAAATGTTTTGTTAGCGCAAATCGAATGTTTTAAATTTAAACATTTAAACATTTATTTGATAAAATATTTTTAGACAGATGGTTTAAGTATACCATGAAGAGACAGTAATTACAAGTAGTAAGAATGGTAATGAAAATAAACATAGGAGTAATTAGGGGAGAAGTATATCGAAAAAGATGAAGTTGGATGCAATTGAGATAATGATAAGAGGGCAGCGAGTATATGAGAGGGATGTGAAAATGTGGAAGAACTGGTCAAGTGAATGTTTAGAATGAGGGATTGCCAACCCTAAAATGAAGGTGAAAAAGAAGAATAAATGTTTTCTAACTTTCAGTGTCTACTCTTTGGAGATAGGGAGATGAAGTCTAAAAAAAGGCAATGCTTCTTTTTAATAATTCAAAACTGTGCATAGTTACGTTTTGGTTGATGGTTGATATTTTTCTTTACCAGTATAAGATTACTCCAAAAGACACACAAAAAGGCACAAGCCAAGGAATCAACGTGACCCACATCTGGGCCAAAACAATATAAATCCACTAATTACACCCTTTAAAACACCATATAATACTATATTCATATTAACATAATTATAAGGGCCAGGAACTTGATGCATTCGCATTTTTTTTTCTGATGCTTATATTCGAGGATCATCTATATAGAAATTTGACTTGTCACGCAGAATTCAATGGTACAAATTTTATTTTGCATTTTTGCAGTAATTCTCGGTTCTTAAATCATTTATTAGATATTTTAATGCATTTTTCTACTTTTTATAAACATCTTAAATAAATTTAATAAATTCAAATTAAAAAAAGAAACGTAAAACTAAAGTCGGCGGAAATTTTGAACGGATAGATAAGATAATATGTTTAATAAAGAAAATAATAATAGAATATACATTTATATTAAGCACGGAGACACGATCACCGCGCCAGCATTAATCGATTCATAATATTATTCTATCGCAACTCGTTATAACCTGTTTTTATTAAAAGATAAGGAAACATTTGCACAACAAATATTTTATTATATTATAGATTTTCCTGTAAATTGTTTGTAATTTAACTTCCTCTAATTTTTAGTTTAAATAAATTTTTCAATCCATTTTGTAACATTTTTATGTCATTTTATGCATTTTTTTTATTTGTGCATTTGTTCATGTTTTTTAGATCAATTAGGCCCTAACTATTATATTATGTTTTATTCTATTTCTACTTTATATTACTTAATGTACCTATTAAGTATATTTTACTTTGTACTGTTTTGCAACGTTCCTCTTATGATAATGGTATACTGGTTTTTATTATTACTGTTACATTATGCACCTGACACGAATACAAAATTCAAGACCATCGTGTATACACATATCACGTATCACTTACGTTATGTTACGACACCAATACGACGGACCGTATGTGCATTCGTGCACACCGACCAATGAAACATGTTTTTGGGTGATGAGCATTTCCATTTCGGCCAAGGTTCCTGGACATGAAGAAAAAAAAATGAACATCGATTAGGCGAAGCACATGAACGAGGGACAACGATTATCCAGTCGTTTCTGGACATGAGGTCGTTCTTGGACGGGACCGTTAATACTTACCGGACGACATGAATACGAGTCCGAAAACGGCCAGCGCTCCGAATAAGCGCGCGCTGCCTGCGGTGGACATCTTCGGGGGTTTAATATTTGATGATCGCGTATTATCAAGTGTATTCCCGGATCAGCGGTTCATCCAACGGACGACCCGAAATAACGCCGCAAAGACGGACGAAGTACGCGAACGACGGCAGATACGACAATGACAAGATCGACAACGAACAATACGCTGCGGGTTTGCGTCACAAAGACGCGAGGGGGAACGGGACGCGGGCACGCATATACGACGGTAACTCACTGTCGGCCAGACACTGTACGATTGCAGCACTACAGTGCGCTGTAACACTGTTGTATTGTTCGCTGCGCAGCTGAGATCCGTCGACGAGAAAATCGAACGAAAATATGCAACACGAACACAAATACTGGTTTACGGCGGTGCTGCGACGGAATTGATAATAGAGGTTTGTTCGCGACCGAGTGTTTGGGCGGGGATGATGGTGCGAGTGGGGGGCGGGAAGGGGTGACGGTATTTTCGCGACGCATTAACAGAGCCGGCCCGTGTGCGCGTGTGCGAATGGATTTTTTGTTCATCCCGACCGTCCTCCCCCGTCTACGCGTCTCTCCGCACCGTGCGTCGCCGCGATCTGAACGCTCGGTCGGTGGTCGGGGCGGCCGATAAGCCAGAGAAAAACGTCGGCTACGTCGTTTGACATTTTTCCCCGACCTTACGTTTTTTGTGCAATGCGAAATACACTACGTTATACACAATAAAAATTATTAATAACACACGCACGAACAAATAGCCAACAGGTATCTCGTATCTAAATAATGTTATATTTTTATTTTGTCATTATTTGTATTATTATTATTATTATTATTATTAATGTGTTATGCGCGCGTTTGTTTTCGCTCGACACTCGGCCGCCATGTTTGTAAATAAGTGCTGCGAACAATTTTAAATACACGTGCGACGTCCAAATTGTCTGAACAAACATTGTCACTATATCGAACGAGTCTGACTGATGATTTTTATTTTTAATACCTAACTAGGTACCCCGCGAATATTCGTGTAACGGATATAAAACAAAAGAGTTGCGATTCATGTATCTGCTATCGTAAACTGTGTTAATTTGAACTGAAATAAATATTAACTATAATTATTGTTCGTGTTTTTTACGGAATTTCGATACAAATCTGGTTCGACACGAATTACAATATTTGTATCTACATAAACCGAAAAAAAAAAAAACTGAATACTTCAAATACATAGCTCAAAAACTGCCAGAATATTTTTTTTTACAAATTTTAAATCTCTACAATTTTTTTTAAATTGAATTATAACAAGAACACAATCGAAAATAACAGATATCCCCTACTTAAGGAGATAATATATCCGCTTGTGCTCTCTCCGTCTTATAACAGCCAAAATTGTCTTTCAACAGGAACAACTGCTGTTTGTTACCATAGGCGCAACTAGACTGCCAACTTTGGGGATGCTAGAATTATGGAAACATCAAAAATTACATGGGGATTGCGCCCCCGCAGTCCCCTTTACATGGTTCTTGCAACTACGCATTTCGTTTACAATTTTGTATACACAAATTTATGCACAACTATTTTAACATAATTTTCATATATTATATATGTACCTACCTAATACGCATGGATTGTCTGTAAGAAATCTGTATTTTGTTCTGGTCATTAATCATGAAATACACGGATAAAATATTTTATAATTACTATGAAAAAGCTTATTGGGGTTTTTTGGGGCCGCTAATTTTAAACTTGGGGGTGCTAATGACACCTTGGCATCCTACTAGTTATGTCCATTGCTGTTAGTTTTTAATAGTGAATTGAATTTTTATTGTCATACTTGAAATAAAGAACATTAACTGTGTCGTGTCGTCGTTTTTTTTTTTTAATTTTTTAATTTTTAAACGTGACATAAGTAGTCAAAATATCACAATTAAAAAATACCAGGGTATAGACGTATACTTCTTTTTATCAGCCGATATGAGTAGGCGGATTTTTATAAAACAACACGATTTTGAATATTTCTTAACAGTTAATATCGAATTATATTATAATTTCCATAATTTTCTGTAAGATAAAATAATTAGTAATAATATTCTATGTAAATACTAATTTATGCTAATTTTAACGGATTTGATGTAAATAACTGTATGTACTATTTGAGTAACATAATATATCAATATCAAGTTTCAACTCATTATTATGACTTTTAAATCATTGTTGGCAGCATGATTTAAAATAAACTTAAGGTATAATATATACTTTAAGATATATTTAAGGTATACATTAAACCGTGTTTGGTAGTAAACTACTACATTTATCATGGTTTTAAACCTACAGAAAAAGGTATAATTGATTGTAACTTGTAAGCCATTATACTTGATTATTATAGAACAGAATGGAAACTTAAAGACTTGACACTTTCATTTGATTAAAGCGATTTGAATAAATAAAGATTTTACTAGATTAAAAAATAAAGGGAGGGTAGGAGGGTGAAAAATAATTTACGATCTATTCTCAGACCTATTAAATATACACAAAAAATTTCATGAAAATCGATCAAGCCGTTTCGGAGGAATGCGACCACAAACATGTGAAACGAGAATTTTATATTTCTATATATATTGTCATAATTTAATGTACTTTTATATTGTGTTACTTATTGTTCTATTGGGCACCTAGCCCACAAAAAATGTACAAATACAAATACAAATTACTATCCATACTCTGAAAAGTCTCAAATACAGAAAAAACAGGTAATACCGAGTAAGGTACTGCTCGATTGACGATGCACTAACAATAACAATTTATTATACAGACGACCTAAATAAATAATACCTGTAAATTTAAAATTGTAATCGAACATCCATCGAACTATTTTTCTGTGTTTTATTTCACCAAGTATAAACATTAAACAACATTACGGATTACGGTTAAATCAATTCAACTGTGTGCACAAAAGTATGAAAAATTATTACAATATTAATAATGTTAAACCGTAGGTACCGTATAGGTTTTCCCGATGTAGGATGGCGGTCGGTTTCACAGCGTCGCGCCATCTTTACGGTTTTCCAAATAGGCAATCTATATGAATTGTACCAGTTAACTGCATACACACAGTGGTGCAATTAAGAGGGGGCCAGGGGGTTTAGTTCCTTCTGAATTATCTAAACCCCTTAAATTTTTTTTTAAACACCCCCTAAAATTCACCACTGTATTTAACATTATGGTGGGGCTTAAGCCCTTTCAAGGTTTATGAGCTAATTGTGCCACTGCGTATATATACTATATTATATTGGGATATTCGATAAGAATCATAAATGGAACAGTCATGATAAATTTTATTAACAATTAATAAAGTCACTATGTTTTTTCAAACAAATCTTTATCACAAATTGTTATTAACAATGTATAAAAGACTTTTTTTAAATTTAAAGTTGTAAAATTCATTCACCTTAAAACGGCAAGGTTGATCGGCAAGGTACCTTTCGAAAGTTGCAATGGCAGCACAGACACTCTATAGACATTCCTTATTTATATCATATATATATATATATATATATATATATATCGTAGAATCTTCTTTTGTTTATTACTGATTAGGTATATAATCTTAATCAATGGTTATATCTAACTCGAAAATAAGAATTTAAAAATCTGATCCAAAAACCCAATTTTTTACATAATAAACAAATATTTTTCCTTGTAACTTGGCTGAAATATATAATTTTAAGATAAAATTACTAAATAAATATTCATAGCTGTTGTATTTTTAAATGAATGGAGAGATATAACACCTAACGCCCCCGTGTGAATGTCATCGACCGTAATCAGTAGTGTGTAATTTATTTTCCATAAGCGTTCAAATTTTAACGAGCATGTTAGTATTTTTTTTCCTGCAATTCACTGAGTCACACGCATGTCTCTGGTGACCCCTCAAAATAACGTGAATATCTTTAAAACAGTAAGTGCACAAACGACGGGATCAACTAAACAATTAAACTCAAACAAATGACTTAAATTTATTTTTAAAATGTTGAGGTAGTGCTGGGACACGAAGCTTGTATCGAAGAAGCTATTAGTTTTACTGTGTGTGTTTTTTTTTTTCTAGACAACTTTTACTCAGTTAGATTATGGAACATTCAAAGTACTAAAAATTACGATGATACTTTATTTGAAACATTTATTGATAGATGTTAAAGTTTTCAGATTTCTGAGTTATAATTAGGAAAAACTCACAACTAACGCTATACTTCCTTCCGGATCATTTTTCGTCTGGTATAATTTATCATTACATGCAATAGGTATATAAATAAATTAGTCTACATCCAATCCAAGTACCCATATACAACAGTGGCCTAACCATGTTTTTTTTTAAATATTAATTTATATTAAATAAATTATTGTTTTCCCCCCAGCCCTCAATACTTTAAATCTCATGTTTCTACATTACTGAAGAATAGGAGACGCACTATATTCGTCTACAATATTCACTCACTATAATCTACAATTATTTGAAAGCAAATTAATGTTATACGGGAAATACAATACAGATCGTAGAAATTACCCGGATATGGGTATTATAAATTGTATAATAAAAATTAATAAAGTCGGTCGTTTCTCCAACAAAGCTACCCGCATGAACGCATTCATAATAATACTAAATCATATTATAAATTAACTTCTAAGTGTAGGTAATTTTATTATCGGTATCATTTAAAACCCTATAAGCTATTGTTATAGGTACTATTCACTTTCAAAAGTTTAGATTTTAATCGAAAATGACTATACATTATTGTTTAATGTTTATCTTCAACAAGTTGTCTGATATTCTATATAAATAGGTGCACTACGAATCGTTTAACATATGATATAGGTAGGTACTCAAAATAATTATTAAGTAGTTCCTTGATTATAAGTACTAGTATTTATAATTAATGGTAGTAGGTTCTTAAGGCGCATTCACAGTAGCATAACAAAACAAAACGGCAAACAGTTCGACGAAGTCGAAGTTGTTGACGAAATAACCGAAATCATATTTTTTAATAAGTTCGTGTATCCGTGTTCGTAAGTTTTCCGTTTTATATAGTTAGTTCAGTCACTGAATATAGACGTTAATCATGTCGTTTCAAATAGCTGCCGCAGCTTATATTAATTATATATTCATTTCGCATTACAGAAAAAGAGTAAAAGATGAAGACGATGATAGCAAACAACTGTATTGTATGTATGCTCGTCGATATGGAGGAAATTCATTATTAAGCGACCCAAGAAATAAATGGACAGTTTCAAAACTTTACGAGGATATTGTCAAGTGATTTTGATTTGTTCATTAATTTGATCGGACCTAGTCACTAAAAGTAAAACAATATTTTTAAACAGTTATAACACTTCCGGTACCCGATTTTTTTAGGCTTGTTTTCTGAGTTATGAAGTGATTTTTTGTTTGTTATTTTACTGTAACTGCTTCATAGGAAAAAACTTCACGACACCACTGAGTGTCAGATTAATCATTAGGAGAAGTAGGCGCTTCACTCGTTTTAGGAGTCCTGTGAAAATGGGAAACAATTTTTTCTTCTATTATACATTTCGTTTACGGATTTACAGAACAAAAGTCAATATGAATATTACTCTGCGTGGTCAAACGAAGGAGATGAGGAAGATATATCCCCCCCCCATTACCTCGTTTTTCTTAAACATTTATAATAATATAAGGGGTGAATTTTTAAACATGCTCATGCACACTTCTCACCCAATTTTTATAGTTAAATTAAGTATAAATTTAAATTCTGATACCGTGAAGTTTTAAGTGTAGTGAAAGACAATATTATTGAATACATTGATTATTCACAACACTTAAGAAATATCATGTGACAACACTAACTTTGGTTTTTTGATTGAAATGATTTAATGCAAATTGTCTATCAGATGATTTTTCTAAAAATGTTGAGGAATCTTAATCGAAATTTGAACGAAAATGTCTGAGTTATTCTACTTTAAATACTAAAGGATAATAACTGCATGATTCAATACTAGAAATTATCAAAACACGTAAAACAGTTGGTATCTTATCTCCGTAAAAGGCCATTATCTTTCATATTTAAAGCAGAATAACTCAGATATTTTTCGTTCAAATTTCGATTACAATACAATAAAAAAAAAAAACATCCGACTGATAATTTGCTTTAAAACATCTACCTAGTATGTAAAAACTAAAAAATCGAAATTGTTTTCACCACAGGATACTCCTTAAATGCCGTGAAAAATCTTAATATGTAAAATCTAAGTTCACTGCACTTGAATTATGCATAATTTTCCTAATCATAAAAATGAGAGCATGCGCTTAAAAAAAATAATTTTGTATATTATATTTTATCTTTGGAATTATAAAAAAGATTGTGGAAATAATTATAGTTAATTTTCCTTATCCTCTCTCACCATGACAATACTATTTGGTCGTCATTGTTTACACTGTTGAATTATTATAATTACTTGATAATATTATTTAATTTTATTATTATCTAGCTGTCGTTGTGCGTTGTAAGCATTTATCGATCAAATAACTGATTTCTTTGTAATTATTTTTCCAAATAGGAATAATAAATTGTAATCGTCCGCATTCTTACATAGTTATAGCTACAGCTATAATATATTATTATATTATAATATCTCTTATCTGAAAAAAAAAATGTATCAATTTTCTTCTGTGTAATGATTATTTTATATTTACAATTTACTGTACTGCGTATAATGTTTAATTTGATATTGATCACTTGAAAATAACATCTCACTTTAAGTTATACAATTTGTGTAAAATCATCCAATTTCGAAAATTGTATTTTTTCATATAGGAGAACTTACCTAAGTTAAATTAACTTTATTAACAATTACTTTTTTTAGTGTTTTCTATAGCCTGTCAGAAACACGTTACGTATATTGTATATATGACATGTTTTTATACATGAAAAACACGGAAAACTTATTTTCCTTTTCCATTAAACTTCATTTTTACTTTCGATAATTAGGTATATGAAAATTCAGAACATTTTTCTTGGCCTACAATACTTTTCCGACTTTGTAATATAATCATAGGTCATGGGAGGCTCACTATTTTAAATACTCACATAGATACAGTTTTATCCGACTTGCCAAGTATTTTTTATTGGTCCGGTTTGTCAATCTCATGAAGGAGCTACTACAGCTCTCGAGTCCCCTTACTTGGCACCCCTGAATATAATATTATATACATAAGTATATTAGCGTCTGCCATTGACAAATGCTGGAATTTAAGATGCTGCCCAACGATAGAAAGAATAATATTATCAAGACGATCATGGGCGTACTCATGGGAAGGGAGTTCATGGGATTTAAACCCTCCCATTGGCCGTATAATATATTATATATTTTCTTTAATAATATTTGTTTAATATTGTACCTATTTTCTCATTTTTCCTCTGTTTTTTCTCATTTATTAAGACAAATCATGAAAAAATTAAAAAAATTACCTCTCGAAGTACCTCCCCAGTCAGATTTACTTTTAGAAAAAGTGCTATCATTGTAAATCGGAACATATATGCTGATAGAAAAGGTTGTCTGCAGAAAAAAAATTAATACAAATAAAATAATAAACATCATTGTTAAACCATCAAAGCTTCTTCGCTCCACTCAGAATCTAAAATCAATTCTCGTTTACTATAGATTAACAGGTTAAATATTTGACTGTATTTAATAATAAATGCAATGTTTTATATACAATACTCACTATTTATGTATCAAACATGTTTTAGTTCTTATTTATCATTAATTTTATACTTAACAATTTGTAATTATATATTATATCACCTATATTCCTATTACATAATCAAATAAAATTAATTTGTTATTTCTACATATTTGTCCTATGTTATGAATATACATAATTATATGTTTATAATTTGTTTGACTAATAGGTAACCTAAATTACCGTTTACAACATAAACATATTTTAATGAGATTTTCCAATTAAAATAATATTATTTTCAGTGTTTAATTATATTAGACATTGGGTTGGTAAATACGATTATTAACAATTAATTTTTTTATGTTCCATTATTTTAATAGCGTTTAATTTCTATGTACGAGTGTATTTTTAGATCGTTGTGTGACCAACGTGTGTATGGCCAAAATCGCAAAAGTCATTAGGTTTGATTAGGTCAGTCCAAAATGTAAAATAAACCACGTAAATTTGAAAAACTACGGAGGTCACAAAATATTTAAAATGAGTTGGCGCTAATGTATTTTCTCTGAATAGAAACAAAAATAACATATAGGAACATTTTTAAAAACAAAATTAGTAATTGGAACAATCGAGAGAAACGTATCTCGAAATACTCAATTGTTAGATTTACTCGATTATTTCGATTGTTTTGAAAGTTCCCAAATTCTCTTGGTATCGAGATCAATTGAAGTTGAATGATAACTAAATCACTTTAGTGATACATTAATTGGCAAGTAATTCTCACGAAATTAAATCGACTGATGTTTTAATCTAGAACATAAAACAATTGTATGCGAATTACTAATGCTTGTTGTTATACCTACACATTATTATATTTTTTTTCTAAAATGTTTAATTGGTAATAATGATTAATTGAGGAGCTATTTGTCTAGCCTCTAGCGAGTATTGAATAATGAGAGTTGTACAGAATATCGAGAAACTGAAATGAAATTACCAAATTGACCAAGAGATTTTTTCCAGTAAATTTCTCGATTGTTATAAACTTTCGATTACTCACTTCCCGATTGTTGAAATCATTCCATTGTTTCCATCATTAAACAAAATATTTCATTTGAAGTAGGTTTTATCGAATATTACTATATACTGAATATTCATTCGATTCGAATATCCTAAATTGATAAAAACATCGATTATACCGTACATTTGTATAATATTATGTTGATTTCGTGGGTTATCGATCCGCTGAACTGTGTTGATTCCACAAAATATTATTTATTTATAAAAATTAATACAATTAGAGTGATAGAGGACATATTAAATTTATTTTTACTTATTTTGTTTGGAAAATCAATAATAATAATTTTAAGAAAACATATAAATACACATAGAAGATCTATAAGTATTATAATATTATATTTATGTGACATTTACACTATTTCATATTGTAACGAATGGTTTTTTTCACATAGGTACCTATTATTAAACGCACTAAAACTGTAACTTTCAGATAAGTCATGACAAAATAACAGTATAAATAATTTAATCATTAATTATTTATTATTTATTTATATACCTATTTGTGTACTGTGAGCCTATAAAACATACATTAATGTTGTAGTTTATACCGATCTCGTCGATCTTCATATCCAGCATTGCCAAAAAATATTTTTGAAATCATCGAAGTAATGCAAATTAAAACTACCTATTAGAAACGAAGATTTTTTACTCGATTTTTATTTTCAGTACCTGTGTAATGTTTCATTCTACTACCTATTTAATTTAATGAAATATGTTTTTTTTTTTAAATAATAAATGAATATATCTTTTAATTAGGTATTTTATTTTGACGTTCACGTTGAATAGGTAATCAAAAAAATAAATAGATATTTAGTTTTATTTTTTTCACTTACCCCGTCCGTATTTAATGTGTTTTAGTCAAAGAAACATTCTGTTTTCGATTAGAAATAATTACGTTATCCAAATAAGGATTTCGAATCTCTCCTTGTCCCAATGCTTTGTACTCCCAACTCCATTTATTCCGAATGAATGTTCTTATGTTTGCCGTTTGATCAATACTATAAAATTATGTGCGTCGTGTATGTGTAGCACTATAGCAGCAAAATACTACTTAGCTAGACATAATATACTATAATATGTTTAGGTTTTAGGTACACAATAAAATATGGACGCCGTAACTCAAAGTGCTATGACAAAAAAGTCAAACTTGTAAGTATATAATGTATATATATATATAGACATTAGACATATATTATAGTAGTTATGTAGATCTACCTATTTATATTTATGTTGACATAATATAAACTTATATATATATATATATATATATAGTACCTGCAGTTCTATAGAAAAATACCTATTAAAACAAATTATTTTTTCAAATAAACCTAGTATTTTTTTCGTTTCCACTGTTGCGTGATGTGTAATTCATATATTATTATATTTATGGGTAGATAGTAAAAAATTGCGTGTTTTTAGTAAATAACAAAAATGAATTGAATATTGTAGGCTAATGTTATTTTTTTTCCGAAGTAAATACAGCGGCTCAGAGAACAATACTTTATCTGTATACCAGTATATAATACATAGTATTAGGTATCATAATATTATACAATATTTGTCATTTATATTAATAGTTGTGCAAGTACCTGTATATTATCAATTATTTTAAAAAATCAATATTATTAGCAATTAAATACTTAAAATAATTTACTTGAATTATCAATCAATCAATTACCATCAATCGCGATAGGTTTATTAACTTAGAGTAAAAGTACTAAGGTAAGTCGATATTTGTATTGTAGATAATTCGTGAATCAAAATAATAACGACGTCAACTTAATTTTAATACTTACCTACATAGTACATACGATATAACTTAATTATTTTATAATTAGTTAGGTACTAAGCTATTTACAATTACAATAACATAATTATAATTGAGTAGGCAGTTATCATATTATTATATTATTTGTTATACCTACTTAGCTGTTAGTGTTTGTTACCAATATAGTATGTTGTAATATGTATTATAGATGCACAGTTATAATTCTAACAATATTAATATACTTTAATGTAATATAATATATTTCAATGCTTATTATAAGTACATATAAATAATTCTTATGTTAATCGGAAAAATATTATACAGGTATACAAATAATTTGATAGGTGGGTAGAAAGGTGGATAGACATAAACGTGCGCACAGGGCGTGCCGGGTATGCCTGGACACTATCCGAAAATTATATATAAACATTTTTTTTTTTTCTAGCTATTATGATGTCACGTTAACATATGACAACTGCAATAGGTACAAGTTTTATATTTTGTAAAATTGCAATCACTTTATTTTTCCTTAATTTAAAATTATTAGTTCATACATTTTGACTTCACCGCAAATTTCGTTCTTATCTTTTACGACTGTGTTACCAAATATACTGGTTTGATTGTAATTATCCAAGTTATTTATTTATAGACTATGATTATCGATTGCTTATTTACTATAAAGAAACTTTTACTTTTATTTTTTGAAGTGTATGATATTAAATTAGATAATTGATATAATTATGAAAACTAATTTAAATACAGTGACAAAATTAATTATTATTTTGTATTATATCTAGTATTGAAAGGTAATAAAAGTTGATTGGGGAGGGGGGATTCACCTAATAAATTAATTTTTCTCGGGCACGACCCGAACTTAAAGTCTGCGCACGCCTATGTGTATAGATGGGTACACAGTTCCCAACTTCTCACCTAACTATCATATACGAGAAATCATTATATTAAACTGCATATTTTATTAAACAATAACTTGTTATTGTATACACGCGAGCGTAAAACTAAGATCTGATACCTGGAATAAATTTTGTTCTGTTCCATAAGTTTTTTTTTTTTAATATATAATAATAAAATTACTAGCCTTGCTCAATTTTCTTCTTTTTTTTAAACGCAAATTAAAAAATTGTTCTTAAAAAATCCAAGATAGCCATTTCATAAATATATTTTGAAACAAAATTTTGGTGTTACAAATATTAACTTATGATTCATCATTAATTTTCTAAAATTTACTTTAAAGATAACTGAAATTTAAATTGTTTTCATTGACACTACTAAATAATATCAATAAATTACTTAATGTTTTAATCAAAAACCATTCTGTAAACTTCAAAATCGTAGGAAATTTAAGAACAATCAAATTTTCTATATTTGGTTCAACCAAAGTTTGAGCAAAAAGAAGATAAGTCCAAAAAAAGTACAAAATATCTAAATCAAATTATATATTATGATTTATTTGTTACATTTCATAAAAATTGAGTAATTGACAATAGGAAATCTGGAAATAAATCGTCGAGAGGGTTTAAACAGTGGCCACAAATAGCATCAGTAAATATAAAGCGCAAGTCTGACCAACTTCGTTCCATCACGCCAATGTCAAAGGTTAAACCGTTAATTTCACCAAATTTTGTAGACAATTTACTCAAACAAACAAGGTTTACCAAGTAAGTAAATGTTATATTTGTTTGTTTAATAATTTTGTTTGCTGCAGATATCCAAACTTTATTCAGTCATAATTGGGCCCAGGTTAAAACGTAAACAGTGTAGGTTATAGTTTCCGCTACCAAAATCGGGGAGAGGGGAGGTGAGGCACATCATTGTTTCCGATATTTCTCAATTAATATGAAAGCCCTAAGGGAAATCTTAAAACGACCTTCTCTGTTCTTAATAAGTACACCAACTAGATATAGTAAATAAATATATTAATACATTAAAATGTATTGATATAAAATATTTTAGATAATAAAAACCTAATAATTTATATCTCTAAACATATTTATGTTTAATAATAACATATTTTAGTATAATATGTAAACATCCTATGTGGGTGTACAATGCCATATTTATAGTTGACGATGAGGAAGGTTACTGATAAATGAATATCTAAATAAAATACAACTATCTAGGTGTTGTTCCATACATAATAATATAGGTATTATGTTGTACAATTTCTACACTTATTTTCTTAAACATTTGTTGATTCAACAATACATTGGGTATTGTATATTTACTTTATAAGTTTCTTGTTTTAATATACCTAGGTACTTATATTTATTTATATATTTTAATATACAGAATGTCTCACTATGATCTGGCATTTGAAATAACTTTTGTTCTATTCAATATTTTTGAAATATTTTTTTTAAAAATAATTAGTATACCTCTGCATTACAGTTTATTTATAAATATTCTTTTTTAGGGGGATGAGGACTTAAAATAAAAAATAAAAAATGGTTGGTATTCAAAACTTTTGTTAGAGTATGGTCTTTGATTTTACTACGATTTTCTTGAAATTTTGGAAAATATGAATATTACCTAATGTGGTTATTACATTACAATATTTACCAATTATTAGTTAGAGCACATGACAAAGATTTTCTTTTTCATGAATTAAAATCATGCAATAATATTATCATATTATGGGTATTAGGCATAGATAATATATACCTGGATAGGACATTCCTATACCTAGGGAGCCTAGATTATCTAGGCTCTCTACCTAAATCTATTGTACACGGTACAATGTGAGCGAAGAGTCTACTCGTTACTATAATGGTTCTATGCGGTTTTAGATACTGGTTTACGATAAACAATATTGATTTGTGCCAATTTTTGAAAAAAATATTTAATTTCAATATTACTTTTTTTTTTCACTATTGTATTTACTTACACAATTATCTGTGCATTATACAAGACTATTTGATCATACAAATCAAGCTACGTTGACAAATCCAAGAGAAACCGTACGAAAAATATGTTTAAAAACCGAGTGTTTAGAAAGTCACCCAGTCAACACTTATTATAAGCAACATTCTGTATTTTTATGAAATAAAATTAAAAATGGTATATTAATATACAGAATACTATTTAATGCCGATAGTTGCGAAGAAAATTATTTTGTGTTAAATACTCATAGAGACCAATTGACAAATTTGATTATTTACAAATATATGGACATCAGAGTATTTTACGAAATAAAATAATGAATGAGCAATCAAAAATTAGATCTAAGTATGCCAAATTAATTTTATTCAAACACCAATTATGTACTTAATTGAACGAAATTATATGCAATTTGAAGCAAATAATTAATAATAATATTATTTTCCGAATGTTTGATTTCGATAGTTTGGTGCGCGACAAAAATTGCGTTCTCGTTATCACTTATATTTGATAACACACTTTAATTATATTTAACCACTTAGGTAATGAGTATACTCTTCGATTACACTTGAATACATAGTATTTCCCATCCATAAAAAATAAATTGAATCCATGTATATTCATTATTATAATATTATGATAACCATATTATCTACGGTATTAGGTAGGTAAAGATATACAATAATTTGTATATTAAGGATATTAACGACGTAAACAAAAAAAATTAGCCTATGCAATAATTTGACGCTTAATGCTCGTAAACCTTGTATAATAAATTATATATTCACTAGTGAATAGTTAATTCACCTAGGTTGTTTATGGTTATTAATGATCCAGATTCAGAATGAGTTCGAATTAAAATTTTAGTGCAATCATCGCAAATTAATTTAGTTGTTAGTTTACGAACAATGAAGCCAAAAATATGTTTAACAAAATCATCAATTATTTGTTGTAAAAAAGTAAATTGATTATTACTGGTAAATTAATGTCTTTATAATTGCTCGGATAGATGAGAAAAACATTTCTAAATATTTTGGTTTTATAAATCTTAACCTAGCAACATGTAATCGTTATCAATCAAATATTCCATTGTACAAAAATTATTATAATATTTATGTATATTAAGTAAAAATTATTTTAAATCGACGTACTAAAAAATAAATACATTATTGATAATTTTTTTTTTTTGATAATGAAAATGTCTACACAAAAATTTTGCTGATTAACGTTGCAATATTTAAAACTGAATCAGAAAACTATTATGAATTTTCTGACAACTGCTAATATCCTGGTAAAATTTACCTGCTATAACTACTTTACCATTTAATGGTCATTCATGTTGATAAACAATATTGTTAAGATTAAAAAGTAAATGACTTAAATTTTCAAAAAATCGTAAAAAATAAAAGACCATACTTTAATAAAAGTTTCAACCGCCAAAAATTGTCTAAAAATCTATTTTACAAAATAGGTATTTTAAATTTTTTTAAAAAAATTATAGATTTTAAATCCTCCTCCCTTAAAATCAATATTCAAGCAGAGGCATACTAATTATTAAAAAAAAAAAATATATATATCAAAATTATTAAATAGAACAAAAGTTATTTCAAGTTGCAGATCGTCTTGGGACACTTTGTATATCAGTCATCCAGAAAGTATTGATGACTCAAACAAAATTTTGAAAATATAATTATTAAATTTGCAATTTTCTCATCAAACATTCAAACCTAAACATTCACACCGGTTCACTTACAAGGGATCACTCTTACCTAGAATACCATTACAGTTTCTCACCTGGGTACCATTACATTCATAATATCAGACGCCCACATGCCAGAGGATGTTTAATAATTTATATTTTATTATCGTGTTTACTCTGCTGTTTTCCAATATATTTTTTTTTATCTATTTATTTTAAATAATATTGAATATACAATTCAATAATATTCAATGTAGATATTTATTGCCATTTATTTAATTTCTATTGCATTTCTACGCCATTACAACATTATCTTATTGTTGTTATTGTAAATTTATTTATCTGTTTTTCAGTTCAATAAAATGCTAAAATGTCAACAAGTTTTTTGCTACATAAATTCGAAAAAATTTATCTTGTATATTTCCTTTTTTTTTTTGATTATGTAAATAACATTAATTTTTTTCTTTAAAGTACTATTTTTTGTCAATTTATGTTCTTTTAACTTCAGAGTATACATTATTAATAAATATATATCTTTCTTTATTTTCTCATTTATGAAAACATTTCAACATTTCAAAATTTAACTTAAATAATAATAATTTTTAAAATAAAGGCTTTGAAAAAAATTCATTCTTATTATACAAATATCTTCAATAAGTTGTTTATTTTCTTTCTGTTATGATGCAGGTACCTATGTAGACATTAGAATATACCTATGGGTTCCTATTTTTATTTTTTTCAATGCATCATAAATTATGCTGTTTTTTCATCTGTTACAGCTGCTATTGTGTAAATAAAATATAAGTCTAATACAAAAATATTTTCAATTTTGTATTGTAGTTTTATCTTATACATTAGGTATCATTTTTAATTTTACAAAAATATTACATTACTTAGGTAGGTATTATTTAAACAATAAACATGTACAAATAACGTTTTTTTATAATTTAGTATTGATTATTGAAGAATATATTTTGTTGTTTTCAAAAATTCAGTTTTGAGAGAGGGGTTTCCTACCCTTAGGGTTTTCTAAATCAAGTCTTTTTTAAGCCATTAAAAACTTTGAAAAAAATTGTAATATAAACTCTGGATATATTAATATGAGTAATTATCTATCTATTATCCATTAAATATTTTAATTTATTGTAAACTATATTTGTTAATATTTAGAAAAGAAATCGCAGGGTTGTGCAAATCATTTAAAAAATTGGTAGCTACCTATGGCGCCGAATCAACATCTTCTGTTGCAGCAATGAGTTCAGCTGCTTTAATAGCAATTCCAACACAGGTTCTTAAAATAAATTAAAACAAAATATCACATTTTATCCTTTTTAAGTATAATTGTGTATGTTTAAGGGGTTTGATCGGTTAATGTTCAGAGAGTTATTACAAAATGAATTTGGAATTACAACTGAAGAAATTTTAACAGATCGCATATTTTGTTTTTTCGATCAACGTAATGATGGTGTCATACACGAAGATGAATGGATTATCGGGTTGTCAGTGTTGTTGAAAGGTACTCAGGAGGAACGAATTAAATATACATTTACCATATATGATCTTAATAATGATGGATACATAACTAAAGAAGAAATATTCAATTTGTTAAGGTTAATGAACTGTTAATTTACTTTTTGCAGTTTATATACTCATAATATATGCTTGTTTCAGAAACTGTTTAGTAAAACATCCGCAGGATGAGGATCCTGATGAAGGTGTACGGGAACTCGTTGACATTGTCCTTCGCAAAATGGATTGTGATAACGATACAAAACTTTCATTTGAAGACTTTTCTTCTTCTATAAATAAACAGTTATTATTACTCGAAGCTTTTGGACAGTGTTTACCATCCAGAGAAACTTCTGAGTATTTTTTGAACTTGATTAATAACATTCAGTAAACCTTTTATAAATATAAAACTATAGAAATAATATGCAAGAATTTAAGGATAATAATATACACTTTTATTAGCTATTTAGAGATTATATTTATTAAATACTACATAAATACTATTTTAAAGTAGGTATTTAGTTTCAATTTATATTAAATACAATTTCAAAAATATACTAAGTCATGTTTCATTTCTGGGTTTGCTGTTGAAAATTTGTAGTTATATATAATTTATATAAAATAAAAATTACTTATAAAACAATTGAAGAAGTAATATACTTATATAACAACTAGATATCACCAAATTACTAAAATTACCATCTTCAGAGTAGTCTTGTTGCAACAAAAAGTAAAATTGACATCTTCATTTGTATATAATCTTTTTAACTAATAATCGGATTTGTCTGATTATTGATGGGATTTTTTTTTTATATGAATATACAAAAAAGTGATTTTTGAAAAAAAATGGAGATATCTGGTTGTTGCACTCACGTGTTACAAGAATTGCTAATAACAAAACCATAATTTTTGTTGGGTTATTAAGATTTTGATATAGAGAATGTACCAACTAATGAACACATTTTAATTGAATGTCTACTTTATTGCATGTTTAAACATAAAAATCACCTATGTTGAATAATAATAATTAATACAATTTAAAATTGAGTACATAAGAAATTTAAAAAAAAAAAAAAAACAAAAAATATGACAGTAGACATTAGAACAACAATAATTTTTCGCTTTTTTAAGCATACATATTATTTATATTTTTTCCTTAATTTTGTTTTATTATAGTTAACTTGAAGAAAATTCGAGTAATAGTATTCTAAGTGTTTTTTTTTTTTTTTTTTTTTTTTTTTTTTTTTTTTTTTTTTTTTTTTTTACAAAATTAGGGGGTCTACCCACCAATTCTCATAATAAAATAAAATACATATACCAATAAATATTAAAATCTTTTTGTAGAATAGAAAGAAATACAATAAGTTCTATTCTACAGTTAAACATGAAAGTATGCAATGTAATTATTTGTAAACCATTAAGTAACATAATTAAAAGATAATGATATACTACAATGCAAATTGTAATGCATGTTTTTTTAGATTCTAGTAATAAATTATGAATATACGAAAAAATTAATTAAAAATTATTAGCTACTAGCATAATCTAAAATGTATTAATTTTAAATAAATTATGATTAGTAATCTCTATTATTTTTACATAATATTATATTAATATAAACATAAAACAACCTATTATTATTATTAATAACACTGATATTTTTACTTTACAGTCTCATTTACTAATCATAGAAATAAAAAAATCAATAATAATTTTAGTAGTACTTATAATCTATGAATGACACCAAAAAAATAAAAATTAAAGACTTCATAAAATTACTTTTCTTTTGGTATAATTTTTTCTTTATCTTTATCCTTAGCAGCAGCAATTGTACTAGGTGTAATACCAGCAGCAGCAGCTATATTACCAATACTGCATGTATCTCCAGTTTCTAACTGTTTTAAGAGACGAAATAGCGCTGATGCTTCTCGGATATTAATGAAATCAACACAAAAGGCTTGAACTTCAATAAATAATTCCTACAAAAGATAAACATAATAAATATAAAAAAAAAAAAAAATATATTTCTTGTGTAATTTAACACACAGATAAACTGAACAAAACATTTAAACAATATATTTTACCTGCACATTGATTATTTTGTTTCTAATAAGAGATTGCAAGAAAACACACACTAAACGAACAAGGCGATTTTGCATATATTGATCCTTAATAGTTTCACAGGCCACAATACAATTGGAAATGTATAAGTGTACAAATTCAGTTGGAAGTTCAACAGTAGTAGTTAGCCTAATAAAAAGAAAATATATTTTATCATTCCTAAATTTAAAATTAAAATTCAAAACAAATTAACATACCGATTCACTACTTCCATTGAATGTAATGACATTTCCATATTGACAAGGACAGAGAAGTAATCAGTAATGTAATGGGATTGCATTAGTTTCAATAGTACTTCAATAGCTATTAAAGGATTATTTTCGACCAAATCTGGTAACTAAAAAATACAATAAATATTAATATGAGTACCAAATTCATACTAAACTTGACTTACTTTACAAGGTGTAAGACCTATATGATAAACTAATTTTGGATCGTTTCCAAGTTCAGCTAAAAGATGTTGTTGTTGCTGTAATGTCAATGGTGCTTTAAGAGCTTTAGTCATAAGTTCACGTGCTTCAGTAGCAGCACTAGTAGAAACGCACATTGTTTTATCATACAAAATTTGGTGTTTTGATCGGCAACTCATATTTAACCAAACCATCTAAAAAAAGTATTGAATTAAAGTAATAAGTATTTATATATGCACATACCATATTTATTTAAAAATTGGCACACATAATTAATTTAAATCATCATATTTCAAAATGTAAAACAAATTATTATATTTATCAGATGTTTGTTTAGATTATTTTATTTATGTATGAAAATACAGTTCTATAAAATAGACTATCAAAAATTATAATTTCTTAAATCTACATTTAATGTATAAATAAATATATTAACATAAAATTTTGTTATTAATAAGCTTACAATTATTAATAAGTTTGATCATCTGATATCATAACGATTGCAATTTAATTTAATAGCTATGATTATGTGATTATGTTGATACAATGATACATAAATTTGTTTTGAAGGTTACTTGTTCACCTAATAATGAAGAATTGTTGTTATATTAATTTTAAATTGGTAATTATACTGTCGTGTATTCTGTATTAACATTCATTTGGCTATGTATAGTCTATAAGTAACTGTATCATGGTTAGGAAAACATTCTAGGGCGAGGGGTGCTAATAATTTGTATTAGTACCAATTATTCTCTACAATGATAAAATACACCAAAATATTTAATAAAAAATTATTTTGAGGAGGGGAATGTATCCTTGATTACAGCTAGAATAGTTAAGAATTACAAATAATATTATAAGCAGCTATGTAAATATATTAATGTAAATTATTACTACATTCAAATAGTATTATAGTTCAATGGCATAGCCAAAATTATGGAATGGGGGGGAGGGGGTTGAAGTATGAATTATACTATTAGCTTTTACAGTTTTAGATTTTGAATGGAGCGAGGAATGTATTGGTTTTACAATGATGTATTTTTTGTGGATACCTTTTTTACAAGCAATTTTGCTTTGATTTACAATAATAACAATTTTTTTAAAAGAAAATCTGACTGGGGAGATACTTTAAGGAGGTCAATTTATGATTTTCCCAATCAATTAGAAAATTTGAAAAAAATAAGGAAATTTTGAGAAAATAGGTACAATATTAAACAAATAATTTTAAAGAAAATATATAGGTAATGTAATTATTTTACAATAATATGAAATGTATATTGTTGACAAAGTAACACTATTAACCAAACTCAGCTCAAAATCGTTTTTCGTTAACAATGGTCTATCGTTCCTCACAAATATACATTAAATTTCTCCTTTATTACTTTCCCAACTTTTCACTCATAACAAAGGCTGCAACCATCCCTATTATCCTAGGACAGCTTTTTTATTTTATTTTATGGTTTTTGCTCAATTCTTAGATATACTCTTATTAAGACATTCAAGAACCAGGTTCAGCGGTGTAAATAGTAAAAACAAACTAATCAATTGATAGATATACATAGACTACAATATGAAAGTTTTAAAATATTTTACTGTTAATTTACAACAGATGTATTTTTCTTGTTTCACTGCTAATTGATTCAAAATGATAACGTGCTCAAAGATAATGATAATTTACTTTATCCATTATTATGCATTTTCAATTAGTATGACAAAAAATATCATAATTTTTACAGTAGAATAACAAAGTATACAATAATATGAATACATCTATTAGGTTAAAACATATGAAAAAAAGCAAAGTGGGGGAATTAACTTCCCCGGCTATACCACAGTTATAATTATTATTTCTAAAAATCTAATTTAAATATATAGATATAAATTATAATTTCAGCAATGTATTACCCAATTATAATAAAATAAAATAGTATAAATAATTAAATATTATAAAGACAAAATAGAAAGTTCTAGTTAAGGTAAGAGTAAAAGTTTAAAGAATTCTAATGAAGAATTCTATTCTTGAATATTGAAATTTAAAATTCTAGGTTTTAAATAGTAAATTGGTTAAGTCTAAAACTAATAATTTAATAAATATTCAGTTATAGTCATAATTTTTTTATATAAAACAGGAAAACATTTTTGTATGAAAATACAAAACAATAATAATCTTTATATATTATTAGAACGAGAGGTGATTTCTTAAGACAGGCATATATGAAATTCTACCGAACTTATTTGCGTAGTTTATTTTTCAAATGCAAAGATGTGGTTTTTAGAAGAGTCATATAATAAGGGAAATTCCAAAAGTTTATTAATTAAAGAGTTAATAAAAATATTAGTTTTCTGTATTGTTACGTATTGACATGTATTGCCTGCCGTGTGTATACACCCCTTCACTATTCCTACATCTACAGCTACTAATCAACTTGAAAATTTAACTCTTGAAGAGTGGCTGATACTGGGTTTTTGAAACTTTTTTTATGGTTTTAAAGAACTGAGCATAGTAATACAACTAGTATGAAATTAATTATCATTAAAGGGATTTATAAATCTAGAAATTTAAGAGGATCTCTTAAAATTCATGACAGTAGATTCATTAAGTAGATTATTTAAAACTATTTAAAAATAATTTTAGATTAACAATTTATAAAAATGCAAAATTGTTTAATTGTGGTTGTTTTTTTTTTTTTTTGAAAATGGTTGTAAATGCATGAGTGTTATTAAATGTTAATAATTAAATATATCTCTCAAAAATACAGTGGAACCTCAATAAGTCAAAATTCAAGGGAAATGCAATTTTTTCAACTTACTAAGATTTTAGGGAAACAATTTTACTTGAAGAGTTTTTAAAATGTATGCACGTATTATAGTTATTAACTATTATATGGTATAAATGTACATATAATTAGATTGTGTATTGTTATTGTTATTATTATTATTTTAAAATTGTAAGGTTAAATTATGGGACACATAAGCTGAATAGACAATTTTTTTTTTATTTAAAATGATTAATATACAATCTGAGCCCTTGAGAATATGTGTTGAGAGAAATTTTTTAACATGAAAAGTGTGAGAGAAGAAACCATCCAGTGAAAGCACTACCTATTTATATACTTTATTTATTTTACACTACCTATTTATTCATTAAGTAAATCGCGATACCAATTTCTTTTCAAATGCCTTGGGGGATTACCCGGAATTGTGCGAGTAGCTAGATTTGATATAAGGGAATTGAAGTGGGAAAGAAGTCTATTATAAAAACATTTATAGAACGTTATTGTTTCAGTATGAACTGTTTTAATATTTAAATCAGTATGTAAAGTACAGTTAGAGACATAAGGTGGGGGCGTTAGTGATTAAACGTAAAGTTTTGTTTGGTACGGTTGAATTTTATTCACATTGGATTTTTTTGCTTTGCTTCATAGTTGCAGTCCATAAGTCCACATGGGCTTAACTAAAGATTTATAAATAAGAAGTTTGGTGCTTAGTTTAGAGCTAGTTTTTTTGTTCTAACATGAAGTGCCCAGGTAAGACGGCAGTCAATGGTTACCCCTAAATATTTAACTGAATGGGATGAAGGGATAGGGATGTTGGCAAGGGAGACTTCAGGGCACAGAGGATCAAATAGACAAATGATTATAAAAATTATTTGCCGTTATCCATCTATATTCAGAACACAGAATGTTGTTATCTATAGTTTTTTTTGAGTAATCAAGGTTTTCGCAGAGAAATGGTATTTTTTCGACTTATTGAAGTTTCACTATACATAACTTTTTAATTATTATGGTCACATTTATATAACAATATTTATTTTAATTTTCCATAATTTGAGAGGACATTTTAACGATTTTGTGCAATAACCATACATGGACAGCTCCATTTTTAAAATTCATAATACTTAAGTTACAGATAAAGAATATATGTGTTTTTTGCGGATTATCCGCGGAATTTGTTTATCCATGGATATCCTGCCATCCTATTCCACGGATAATCGGGAGTACACTGTATAATTTAATTCTTACTTCTTGTTTGCAGACAAATAGCGGTGGTACAAGTCTCATCATTTCCGGTTTAAAATTGTGTGAAACATATGATTTAGGTCCACTAATAAGCATTTCCAAAACTTGTTTTGACCCTTCTTTGCTTCTAAACATAAAAACAAAATGCATATTTAAATGTTGGTTATTTCATGTTGGTAATTTTAAAGGATAATATTTACTAAGACCATACTCAGATTTTTGAGGATCAGGTATGATAACTGGAAGAGAGCTTTTTGCTGTCCGAGGAAGATTTTTACGACGTTCTTTTATGGTATTTAGAATTGTTGCAGTATTAACGACAGGTTTGCTGGGATCACTCCGTGCTGTTAATACTTGCTTAGCAGATTTTCGCAATAACTCTTTAGAATTTTGTGACATAATTAAATTAGAGAGGAATATTTTTACAGGCATTGTTAAAACTGGCAAATCTCCAACATATTCATTTTTTCCAACTTTTTTGTGCTGTAAGGAAATGTAGGTTTTAGTGATGGAATTAATTTATAATTAACAAATAATACAAAATAAATATCTTACTAAAAGATGCATAAAAACAGGTGCTAATGGATTGGTTGCAATTGGTTCATTTCGATATAGTTCGTAACACAATATTATAGCAGCAAATTTTTGAGTCTGATTCAATAAGAAGTCAGAATGCTGAATCAGCATAAGTAAAGTACACCCAACTATAATGTATAATAGGTATATGTTATACATTTTTTAAATTAGTTCAATTACAATACATAAAAGTAAGAACTATAAGTAATATGTATATTTTATGATCATTAAAACTTAATTAGATAATGAAAAAAAAAAAAATTAAGTACTAATCTAAACTGACAGAAACTTGAAATTCATTATATTACAAGTTTTAATTTCCATTGATGATTTCGGGTAAACCATAGCAAATTTTATATTAAATTTGAATTTATAAAATCTTTACTTTACAGTTGCAGAGGTTGAATATAATATTTACCTTTAAAGTTATCTTCTCGCTTGAAAAATTGATGTAGTTGTGAAACAAGATATTCAAGTGTTTGATTTTCAACAGTTTCTTCACTAAGAATGCTGTGAATATAAGTAGTATGATATTAGGTCATCTTTAATTATAATAATATTTTAATGCATACTTCATAAGAGTAGACAACTGGTTAACAGACAAATACATTTTTGTAGAAATGAATGCTGATATCTGGATAGTGCTTAGAAAAAACGTCAAAGATTGACAGTTATTTAAAATCCTCAGGGTTATTATTTAAATAACGGCATAATATAAAATGTATTAGTGAATACAGTAGATATCCACAAAAAATTGTACAGAAAAGATAAATCAATATTATAAGTACTAAAATGTTGTATCAAGTGTGGTAGTATAAACAAAACTAAAAAGTGATACTTTTATAATAATTGATAAGCAGTTGTTGCCAACCACGAGTCCACTATTTCAAACATAAGAGTTACCTACAAAATTGCTAAATACCACTACAAACCGAGCAATAAATTATGGGATCATTTTATACCACTACTTTTTGTTCCATAATACATGTACTTTTGTTTCCACCGTAGAAGCCTTCTATATCAAGGCTCTCTACGTAGTACCGTATTTGCACAAAATTTCACCTTTTGTTCCAAGAGACATTTATTCCAACTTTTATTTGTTCCAATCACGGGGCTACACTCAGTTTTCCCGCCCATATAAAAATTATGGTTCGCTTATTATTGTTGCCATAACAGAGAAATTTCGCCATGAGCGCCCAATAATATCGCAACAAACTATAACAATAATACGGAACATCCGAAAATTTTATTTTTTTAATTTGTTTATAATAAATAAACTAAACATGACGGTACATAGGTGCATCGTACTAGGATATAAATCTGGATACGATTCCTGTGTAAATAAACACCATTTCTTCACTGTAAATGGCAACCTATATTAAAAAGCCCATAAATATATGGAGTATTAGTTAAAATAAATTCTAGAGTTGAAATTTTTGATAGTTAAATAAGAAATAAATAAATATTACCTAAAATTTATTTGAGTTAATTTAATATTGGTTTGTCCCCAACAGGCACTATATAAAATTCCTCGACTTAAGGAAAAAGCAGTGCCATCTATTTTCCAAACTATACAAAATACCTATTAAGGCCATTAAAACATAGAAGACCACCTTTATTTGAGAATAAATCCTGATAATATTAAAAAATAGATAATCTTTTTAATTAAAAAAACATAATTACTATTCAAAATAAGACCTAACGTTTGTCATTTTCTGTGATACAAGAAAATATTAACAGTGTAGTTATTCCTAAAGGCTGGAGTTAGACATGTTACTAAAGAACAACTCATGTTTTCCTATTACTCTATTAAAATAGAAAATCAACTAACTGAAATATTTACTCCATTTATATTTAAAAGAGCGTGTAGGTATGATAAAAAAAAAAGGTTTCAAAATTTAAGTTAAATTGGGCATTATTTAACCTTGTACATACTACATATTATATATATATATATATTTAAGATGAAATATAAATTATTTTTTTATTTATACTTCACTATATTCATGTTATATTAATTTATTGTTAACCTATTGTTACATTTTCACACAAATTAAGACATTCTGGCGATGCTGCAGTATAAATAAGTGTGGTTAACAATACTTTTTCAAATAAAATAATTACTAATTTCTGGTACCTATAGTTTTGAATGAAAAAAAATAAATTAATGCTTAAATACGATAGCTTGTATTTTTTTTTTTCAATAATGTACCTACTAGTTTTATTTTCTGATTTACTAATATGTACTTTTATTTTATCATACCATGCCTGATGATAAAATAGTTCATTTCATCCAGGTCTGGATAAATTTATAGGTACCACATATTTTACTATATACTAAAAAAATAGATTGCAGCTTTTATTTTTGAGAAAGAATTGATTATAATTATTCCTATTTTATTTGAATAAGAGAAAATACATTAATTTTATAACTGTAATTGACTGTAAAATTAATTATATCATGCAGAAAAACTTCAAGTTAGCAAATTTAGAATCAATACTTGTTCGTTTTTGCTTCTACATTGATGGCAGTAAGGCTCACACACTGTGGCAGATCATTATTGAAATTGTGATAATTAACGAATCACTCTGGTTGAAAAGTAGCCAGTCCTTAACAAAGTATATATGTTTATGGTTTCAATGACCATATTTTGTTAATACACGGCCTAACAAAAAATTTTAATTGATTTTGTTTTGTTCCTAGGGACATATTATTAAACATTCCAATTTCTAAATCACATTGCTTCAAATGTGATGTACTGAATTGTATTCCTCGAGATTTCTTGACTTTTGCCTTATTAAAAATCGTCACAACTCGGCTACTGGAAAATATACAGTTTCTTTTTAAAAAAATTTACAGCGTCAACTATTTTTACCTTTACTGATCTCATTTCTGTAGATATGAATGTAAATTTTAAATTATTTTTACTGTCAAGTAGTTTGTTAAAAAGTATTTACATTGGCTATTGGGTTTTTAATTAATTTTGGATGATATTTATCAACTAGATTTGATCATAATTTTAGAGCACCTTTGGAATTAATCTAAAATTTATACCCAAGAATATTTTTTTTTTTTTTTGTAAATGCTAATTATTTAATTATGTTTGAAGTGTTGTATAGTGAGAGTATGAAGATTAAACCTCCCATGGGTTAGATTGAATTTAATAACTGTAAGGAAGCTTATTATTGTTCTTAGAGTCATAGTTCCTCTTTTAATTTTACTAATTTGAGCAATTCCAAATTAATGCTTATGATATAGTAATATACTGATTGCTTATCTAACCTATTTGTATGATTAATAACTCAATAGAAGATTTTTTCATATTCGTGTAATTTTTGGAAAATGATTTTTGGCGAATTATTGTTGATGTTTTGGTAATTAAGTAATTCTTGAAAAATATATAGTAAAATTTTAATGTTTGGGTAAAATACATCACAATGTATCTATGCTTCAATAATAGCAGTTTTGGGATTTTTTTTGTTTGCCCATTTCATCTGTTAAAGTTTTAATTTAACTTTTAACTCTAGAAACTATCTGCTATAGGTCAAAATTTACTCCCCAATCCAATAAGAAAAGCCTAGTTATGTTGCTGATGAGTATGAAATATTGAAAGAAACAGAATGTTATTCATACTGTTTCGTGGAGAATTTATGAAATTAGTAAACCTAATAATTGTAGCCAGGCAAGGATCTGGGGGGCAACAATTTTTTTAACCAACCACACAAATACAATCAAAATATAATATATTTATTGATCATACATATAAGTGATTAAAATTAATAATAGTAATATGTAAAAATGTAATAACAGGATCCACAGAATTATAAAAAAAAATCTGAGAAATATATCTTTGGGGGACCTGGGCCCCTCTTAAATCAGTCCTTGATTGTGACAACCATGAATAATTATTATTAGTAAAAAACGAGATAAACTTATTAATCCAATTAAATATATCAAGTAAATGAAATTCACTTTGTGAGAACCTAAATAATTCTGTTATGGTGTACAATTTACATATAAACAATCCAAACAATTAATTATTAATAATACCACACCATGAATATATCCAGGTAAGTAATTACAGTTACACAAACAGCAATGATTTGGAACTATAATTTTGTGATTTCAAAACCAAAATACCAATATTACAATAGATAATTGTTCTTTTGAGGATGTATTTCAAATAATGAATAGTAAATTAACAAAGTAAAATGAAATTATTAAAATAGTTAATATTCATAAATAAATATATAAATAAATAATAAATAAATAATAAATAAATAATAAATAAATAATAAATAAATAATAAATAAATAATAAATAAATAATAAATAAATAAATGAATGAATGTCTGGCGAGTATTATATGACCGGTTTCAAATTAAAAATTCATCATCAGGTATATCACAGTGAAAATGTAAAATATGACTGAATATAAAAATTAAATGTAGGAATACATAGACAAAAAAATTATACAAATTGGTCGTTTTATATAGAAATAATTTATTTAAATAGGGGAGATTATTTAAAATGAGTTATTATTAGACATAGATATATTAAGAAATATAAATCATTTAAAATATTATTAAAATTAATTTTTTTTACTTCATTGTATATATGTAATTCTTCTAAAATATCCAGAAATAACCACTTCCAGATGCTACGAGTACTGACAATCCATTGAAGGACCTAGAAAATAGAATATTAAAGTTTATATTATTTATATTATATTATAAATAAAAAAATAACCACATAAATATAATTTGTAGTAATTATTTAACATCTATAATATAGATTTTTTCAGCATGGGAATTATGAATCAAATTGAGTCTGTACAAATTAATTTTATGAAAAGCCAATAAATCCTTAGGTGGTAGGTACTAAATTATCTCGTAATTAAATAAATGAAGTAAAATCTGATTGAATAACAGTAGTATTAATTCAAAAGTATTTTGAAGTCCGTATCAACCACAATCATATAATTTATTATTCAATATATCTAACTGTTTGTTTAGTAATAAAAAAAACCTCATGAAACCACAAGTTTCATTATTAGCCTTATCACCAAAATTCTTAAAATTCTTTGGTAGAAAATAAAATTATTGTTTTTCGTCAGTTTACTATTTTTCCTTAAGTCTTTTATACCGAACAACTTTTTTTCAAAATGTGTGTTTTTTTTTTTTGAAATCAATTTGCAGAAAAATAAATTTTTGGAGTTCAAGGGTTACTCGTTCGATGTGCTATTTCAAGAATGTTATAAACGGCAAAATAAACCTGGATCTGGTGTACAAAATCACGTCGGGAAGGTAACGGGAGATAAACAAATACATTTTCGGTATACCTAGAGACCCAGTGTGATCACTCACTCATTCGCTCGGACTGTATTCGTTTAAACGAAAAAAAATCCATGTAGAAACCAAGTGCAAAACCATATCAGGCAGTAGGAACAGGGAAAAATGATTTAAAAAAGTATGAATTTCCTTGTAAAACCACGTTGACTATATAGGTTAAACAGATAGTAGCTCACACACAAGCTATAATAGTAACACATGTCGTAAAATCGAAATTAAACTCACGAGTCTCTTAGCGCCGAATTTTGACTTCACCATCATCGATGAACGTGAACGACAAGTCAATCACTTCAACGAATATTTAATAGACTGCAGTGTTGCCAGATGAAAAAAATTGAAGATTCACAAAAATTAAAAAAGTTTCGAAAATTCCCCAAATATTAAAAATTATTTCCAAAATTCTTCAACATACATATTTTTTATCACAATATCTTTGTATAGTGTCATTTACCTGGTTGAATTTTGAAAATTAAAAATTAATTTGATTATTGTCTATTGATAGTTATATTTGTAGGATCATCAATATCATATTTTTGAGTTTTTTGTATACTAAATAAATAAATAAATGAATACATAGTTAATTAAATTGTATTAAAGGTTATTTAGCCATAGTTAATACATCATTATTAAGTATAATTTAAAAATTAAACAAAACTAATTGATATCACTTTGAAAATAAAATAAAAACCACAAAATTAATAGTTAACATTTTAAAGTTAATAATGTACTTACAGTACCTACAGTCTGATTTAGGTAAATATGTATATTATGAGATATTATGGTACAAATTAAAATTAAAACAATTTATAACAGTTTGGAATAAAACTGATTTTAGCAGCATTCCACTGACATTGTATGCCGTGTAGACCGTGTGTGCCATCATAGACCTAATAACTATGGACCTCGCATAGAGAGAGAACGAAGGCCGACATCAAGCGAAAGAGATAGAACTACAGGAATACAATCAGCAAAAATAATAAAAACATTTTTTCATTCCACGATTTATACTATTATACTATTACACTATTGATTATAGAATACAATCTATTCTATAAGCAATGCTATTAACATTTGAAAATTTTGATTTATAACATTTAAAATAAATTGTAGTTTATTTGTAATTCATAATTTATGAGTGCATATACCTCTTTTTTTTAAAAACAATTTGCCTTGTTTAATTTGGGCTAACATTTTATTAGTAAATAAATTTTATTTCTAATATTTTTATAAATATTTAAAATAATGGGTAAACACTGCTTAATAAAAGGATGTGACTACAGCAGGACAAGGAATAAAAATTCACAAATATTGTGAAATTTTAGGATATTTGACTGGGAGGTACTTTATGGTGGTCATTTTTTGATTTTCTCAGGAGTTTTTTTAATAAATGGGAAAAGATTGAGGAAAACTTAATTTTAAATAGAAAACCTAATTTAATTTTTTTAAAAAGGTGTCCTCAAGTTGTAGTTGTAAGTGTATGAACTATACTATTACTAATTACAAAAAATAATAAATTACACTTATTAAAAAATATAAATAATTTTATAACTTGGGTTAAGCTTTGAAAAATATTATTGGAATAATTTATCATAACATTTTCTATGTACTTATCAATTTGAATTGGATATTATTTTTCTAATGTAACCTCATCATCATCAATATTGAACAGTTCAGTCAGTCCACAATCAAAATTAAAATAATTTGAGCAACTTGCAGTCATGGCTACAATTTCATTATTATTAGCTATTTAATATAAAATGTAATATAATAAATAATGATTATTATTATCTTTTTCTATTACCTTGTGGATGCAAAAACAATCTATTTCTGATAAAAATGTAACATACCTTGGGTAACTTGGTTGATAACTTGTTGGTTCATTTAAATGGGCGGTGCTAAATCTTTCTCTGGCCAATTCCCCAGAAATTGTGGATAACGTTTCTGAACGCACCCTCGGTCGATGTCGGATTACTGATTAATTTGAAGTACGAAGTCCGAAAATAATAAGTATATTATATTTTTATTGAATATTCACTAGTCAGTAGTCACTAATCAGTAGCTATGTGCATATAATATGGATATGGAAATGTATCATAAGCAATTAAAGTTGCATAAAAAAAAAATTTAATATTAGTATTTATTTAAAATCAACAACGATACAAAAGTACGAACACGAAAAAATTAATAATAATAGAACTATTTTATTACAAGTAGCAAAATGGCCAAAATGAGAAATTGCCATAGATATTATGATATTAATAACCACACGGCGAAAAGTGTTCAACTTAATAATTGCTTAATCAAGCGGTATCGTCGGTTAAAATTGTATCCAAATTACGATCATGATATCTGAGTCCGTGGCCCGCACGATCTACACGGCACTCGGTGTCAGTGGAATGTATTGAGTAATTACTGAATGGTGGAGTGCCGCAATAAAAACTGATAGCTCGTAAAAATGATTATCACACTACCATAATAATATGTTTTTAATAATGAATTTCTTTATTTCCTATGGAGGTAATAGATAATTGTATGGTTATTGCAGTGAACGTGTTCGTATTGAGTACAAAACTAAATGGAGGTGTATGTTGGCAGCCTGCTCGTGACCACCTCTACACAGTTCCCTTACCGTAGAGACCGTAGCCAACAGCTAGCATCTCGACGGACGACCATCGATTCTCGATCACACGTCCCATAATGAGTAAAACAGCATCAAAACTAAATTTTCTGAGAAATTCCCAAAATGTCAATTTTTTTAGAAGTCTCTCCCCAAATTTTCAAGCACCAAAAAAAATCACCAGATTTGGGCGGAAACTCCCTATGTCTGGCTACACTACAACTGAGTCAACTTTGCGTATATAAAATACATATAAATTTATAGCGTGTACTGTGTACATAACAAACAATGCGGTCAAAATTGGAAGGAAAACTTATTTTTAATGTGCAATTCCGTTCAGCGTAGTTAGGCGACGATAATATTTACCACGAAAGTGGTATATTTCGTTTAATGTACGAAAAATATACCTTGAAAATAAAAAGAACCACTACAACGATAGTATCACAGATATATAATCAATAATCTGTGGATAGTACTATCTTAAATCGTATCCACGTAATATAGACGTGTGCATAATCTAAGATCGTAATGTAAATGCAACTCTTGTCAATATGTCGTTAAATACGATAATAAATGTGGCGATACTAATGTCCATGACTGTCCAGAAGCTGTCATGTAGCGCGCTCCACTTGTCGAATTTTGTAGTTGATAAAAAAAGAATAAAAGCTATAATTTGGAATGAAATATAATTATGGCCGTCTTACTAAGATTCAAAACAAGTAATAGTATAATCGCAGAATAATATTATAATACAATAATAATCCGCGAAGAGAAAAGAACAATAATATTTCAACAAATTGGTAATAAATAATAATATAACAGCAATTAATTGAGGAAATTAGTTAATTAGTTATTTCAATAAAGCGAGTAGATAGGTAGTGGGTACCTATATAGGTATCTTTATTTTTACATAATACTTTTTTTTTTTTTTGGTGTCCAACTTTCAGTGCGCATTTTAGTAACCCGAAATATAGGTAGAGGAACGTACTAAAATGCAGACTGGTTTGATTTGATTACACTGGTCAAAATGGATAGGAATCCAGATCTTCTTCAAAATGATAAAAATGTGACTGTCGGGAATTCAAGATTCTAATAACACCAACTGTGATTTAAAAAAAAAACATCTAGATATTTAATGTTCGTTAATTTGCATCATTTTTTAGTACCATGTATAAATTGTGGCCTACCAAGTTTAGGTGTTAGGACAAATATTAACCCGTTATTGAAATGATATTTTAAGTATATTTTACTAGGCAATATTATTATAATATTCTATTGATATAATTGAACAGTGCTCACGATTAAAGATATATCTGGTAATACTTTTTGGTCCTCACTCTAGTAGTGCGCTCTAGTGATGAAACTTAAATTTCTGCGAATATTGCTAATTATACTGTAAATAGTCTACACTATATTAACGTATTAGATTACTGATAAGGGATAGGTAATGATTAAAAGATAAAAATTACAATTTTTTTTTTAAATTTCTTTTCTGTTATATTATAAGTATGAATTTATTATAAAATTAAGATTTATAAAAATTGGATAATTTTTTTCTAACATTTTTTTTTAATTTTGTCTTGACTTGTTTCTTGTGTAATGTCACATTGACATACTTATATAATATTGAATGGAATAAACAATGATATAATCTCTTATGTGTAGAAACATGGAAAAATAAATGATTCAAATTTAGTGATTCCTTTTACAATATCATCAAACACAGTTAAACTTTTACAATGCTTTTGAAATTCATCTTCTATAGCTCTCATCAAATTATATAAGTAAGTATTTGGATGTTAAAGCCATCCTTTTTTTTATATTTGTTATGAGAGCTTCTGCTCTGTTATTTTGGTTAGATGTGATACAGGATTTAAATTTTGGGCAAGTTGTACTTTTTATGATGCTATTATATTATCACATTTATGCTGTTAATAATTTATATACTTGTAGGAACATTGCCGTTAAAGGATGGTTATTTGCACCAGAAGCCATTTTTTCCTTCATATAATCTGTCAGTTGTTTTCATGATGTTAACATAACTTGCAGACCTTCAGTTGTACTCATGGATAAAGATTCATTGGCACTTTTTTTTCCAGATATTAAATTATTTTCCCACATATTCAACCAGTCTAAGGAATGCTGGATTACCTAGGCAATAATAGTTGACTGTAAGTTGAAAATATTTGTAATTTTAAACTTATTATTTAATTACACAATCAACCACTTACATTGTTCATATTGATGTACACAGATACAGTACCTTGTTATTATTGTATTGACTCTTATTACTTATTGTATTTGAAAAAAATTAAATCTACCCATATGGCCATGTTAATGACTTGTTAATGAACTAGACGTTAGAGCTAGAAACTAGTCATTGGAAGTTCAAATCAGGTGTTACGATTCAATTAAATATTTAAATATGAGTAAAGCATGTTTGTAAGTGTAAACATAGATAGCGCCACATGATATATAACCAGTCCTTCAAAATTGTCTACAACTGTAGTTCTTAATGTGGGTGGTACCGCCCCCTGGAATGCATTTCGGCCCCTCGAGGAGGGGGGGGAGCTTTTTTATGCGGGTTGATGGAAAAATAAAAAAGCACCACCTTTATCATAGCACACGTATTATTGTGAAATCAGAATAGTTGTGTTCAGATTCAGATTTAGGGTTGTTATGTACGGTTGGCCAACATTCCTTTAAT